AAAGAGTCAGTAGATAGATCTAAAGGTAGATTTTTGTCTCTTACAAATATTACAAGAACTTAACAAAATATTTCACATATTTGAGCATCTTTTATAATAGGAAAATTATGAGATATTTTTTTATTTAAAAAAAAAAAAGAGTTTTTGAAATATTTTTTAATAGAGAAAGAGTAGAATTTAATAAAATGGGATTAGACTCATTTGTTGAGTTTGGTTATCATTTTTTAAAGTTTCTTTTATTCATTTACTGTATATATTTCCTATTATCTTATCCTCTGATGATTTAGGTAAAAATGTAAAAAAAAAATTAAAATCAAACTTTCGAGCAGGTAAATGAGAAAAACATATATATTTTTTGATATTTTATTTTGTCTAATTTGTTTTAAAAGCATTCAATAAATATTATTCTTAACATTTTATTATTAAAAGAATATTTTATTTATATTTTATTTTCTCTATGTAATATGTGTATCTTTGGATATTTGTTGTAGGTGGGGCGGTCTGAGACTCTGAGGGGCGCGATAAGGCAGGGCAGAACAAAGCATAAGCTGCAAAATGGCTTACAATCTTTGTTCTTCTCCTTCTCTCTTCCAGGATGTTCCCTCTGTCTCTTTTTCTTCTTCCTCTTCTTCTTCTCGCAAATTCAAGTTTCGAAACATGTCTTCCTCTTCCTTTCAACCCTTTCCTTGTCATTCTTTCACCTCCCAATCCAGAACCCTTCTCCATGCCCCCCACGTGTCCTTGCAGGAACCCATTTCCGAAGAGTTACCAGCCGAGGGAAAGTCCCCGTCTTACTATAAAAGTAGTCGCATCTGGGTGAATCCCCGAAGCCCCAGGGCGAAACAACTTGAGAGAAAATCCTACGATGCCAGGTACACTTGTCTTGTCAATGTCGCCAAATCCTTGGATTCTTGCAATCCCTCTCAAGAGGATGTGTCCTTGGTTTTGAAGATTTTGGGGGATAGAGTTTTGGAGCAAGACGCTGTAACTGTCATCAACAACATGTCCAATTCCCTTGTTGCGCCCTTTGTTCTCAACTACTTTCAGCGTAGGATCAGATCCACCAGAGAGGCCATTCTTTACAACGTCACCCTCAAGGTGTTTCGGAAGAGCAGAGATTTCGATGCCATGGAGAAGTTGTTTGATGAAATGATTCAGAGAGGAATCAAACCTGATAATGTCACCTTCTCGACCATTATTAGCTGCGCTAGGGTTTGTTCTTTGCCCCATATGGCCGTGGAGTGGTTTGAAAAGATGGCATCGTTTGGGTGTGAGCCTGATGAAGTCACCTACTCGGTTATGATTGATGCTTATGGCAGGGCTGGTAACATTGACATGGCTTTGCACTTGTATGATCGTGCAAGGACTGAGAAATGGCGCCTTGATACTGTTACCTTCTCCACCTTGATTAAGATGTATGGTTTGGCAGGGAATTATGATGGATGCTTAAATGTCTATCAAGAGATGAAGGTTCTTGGTGTTAAACCTAACATGGTTATTTATAATACTCTTTTGGATGCCATGGGGAGAGCTAAGAGGCCTTGGCAGGCCAAGAGTATATATACGGAGATGATGAATAATGGATTGTCACCGAATTGGGCGACTTATGCGTCTCTCTTGCGAGCATATGGTAGAGGGCGCTGCGGCGAAGATGCTCTCTTTGTTTATAAGGAAATGAGGGGAAAGGGAATGGAGATGAGTACTCATCTTTACAATACCCTTTTAGCTATGTGTGCTGATCTTGGTCTTGCTGATGAAGCATTTGAGATTTTTGAAGACATGAAAAGTTCTGCAACTTGCCTTTGTGACAGTTGGACATACTCGTCCTTGATTACGATAAATTCTTGCAGCGGGGACGTTTCAGAGGCAGAAAGAATGTTGAATGAAATGATTGAATCTGGCTTTGAGCCTACTATTTTTGTTCTGACATCGCTTGTGCAGTGCTATGGGAAGGCCGGGCGTACTGATGATGTTGTTAAGACGTTTGATCAACTTTTGGATTTAGGCATCAGTCCAGACGACCGTTTCTGTGGTTGTCTTTTGAATGTTATGACCCAAACACCGAAAGAAGAACTTTTAAAACTAAAATATTGCGTGGATAAGGCTAATCCAAAGCTTGGGTCTGTGGTAAGATATTTGGTCGAAGGGCTTGAGGAGGGTGATGGGGAGTTTAGGAAAGAAGCATCGGAACTCTTCGATTCAATACCTGAAGAAGTAAAGAAGCCCTTTTGCAATTCTCTAATTGATCTTTGTGTCAACCTGGATTTGTTGGACATGGCATGTCAGCTTCTGGATCTGGGGTTGACGCGAGAAATATATACGGATATACAGACCAAGTCTCAAACACAGTGGTCTCTTCATCTAAAGAGTCTCTCGCTTGGAGCTTCGCTCACTGCGTTACATGCTTGGATAAATGATTTGTCACAGGTTTTGGAAGCAGGAGAGGAACTTCCACCGGTGCTTGGAATTAATACTGGTCATGGGAAACACAGGTATTCGGACAAAGGTTTGGCCAGTGTAGTTGAATCACATTTGAACGAACTCAATGCTCCATTCCACGAGGCTCCAGATAAGGCTGGCTGGTTTTTGACTACGCAGGTAGCAGCCAAGTTCTGGCTGGAGTCTAGGGATTTGGTTACTGCATAATTAATGTTTTTAGGCTATGGGATGTAGGTATTCCAACAACAGCATTTCTCCATTGTTAATGTTGTTTCAGGGAATGATATATCATGCAGTTTTATGCATTTTTTTTGTCTTGTGAGGAATTTTTCTAGTAGAGATTCAGATATATAATTATTTTATTTTGAATGCCTTATAGACTAAATGTAGAGCTGACACTAACATTTTTTCGACTATGTTGGCTACTGGCTGGGTTTCTTTGCAGTTGAGCGATGTAGGAATTTATAAATTTCTTCTAAATATCCAAGTGCGCAAGTCCAACCTAATTTGACTTTTTAAGGTGTGATGCAAACCACATTGGGAGTCTACTTTTTAGAGGTTACTGTATGCGTAAGTAAAATAGAGGTTATTAATAGGTTTATTATGCAAAATGTGTGAAAGTCAAAGTCCACATGAGAACTATAAATTTAAAAATCGTGTTGGCTCAGTTGAAGTGATGGTTGGCAAAGAGAGGTAAACATTGTAAAAAATGGTCTTCCGTCTTCAAATAGTTACGTGGGCAGTGAGTGGGATTGGCTGTGATTCTGATTAAAATTTGTATTCTTTTTGCGAAAAATATTAGTTAGACGAAAATGGTACGGTTTTTGGACCTCACTTTGAGAGTTTTAAGCCACTCCTTGGAGAACATGGCTTCGTTGACTTTATCTGCCTAAATAAAGCCTTTTGCGTATATTTTCTAAAGTCAATTAGAACAAACCCAGTGCTTTGTGCATTAGTGTTTTTCTTTTTTTTGGTGAATATTTGTACGTTAGTTTTATCCAACTCACTTTCTCTTACATACCTATGTATAAAGAAGTCTTAAGTTCATTTGATCAATGCACAATGGGAAACTGTATGACTTTTCAGTTTCAACCAATGAAGGAAACTGTATGATTTTTCAGTTTCAACCAATGAAGGAAACGAAAGGTCCCCCACTTGAACGAGGAGAAATAAAGTTCGATGCCCCAGTTCTAGTTACACAGATGAACTGTTTATTTTAAACGCTACATGCTGGTTTGCAGAGGCTGTATATTGGGGAGGTTTAATGTCTTGTGCCTTACTTTGACATCTGTTAAGAGACTTTGCTATCGCGTGGAAAAACTGACAACAGAAATATGAAAACGAGGAAAGTGAAGGTTCTGTTGACAAATGAACACTTGCAATCGCTGTTAACTGGAGCAGCAAAGTATAGTTTCTTGTTTGAAACAGAATTTCTGGATTGCCAAAAATGTACCTCGTTGGAGAATCATAATTTTAAGCTTTTCCATGAGACATTGTGCAACTTGTAGTTTTTTTTTTTTTTTTTATTTCCTCAAGGATAATATACGTTGTCTTCTCTCAGGAATTTGGCGATGTTTGCCTGCTGATTCTTGAAATGTAATATCTGGCTGAAGAAAAGTTAAGCACGCTCATGTTTGTATTTTAATACTTGCATATTTTCTTTTTAATTCCTTAGTTTAAGACTCTTGCATTCAGACCATAGGTGTAATGAAGGCTGAGTTTTGCTCATTTTTCAACGAAACAACAAATAGAAGATGCTTTCAAAATTCTCTTGCTAAGTCTGAATATTACTGGCGGAATTCATCCAACCTAATTTTATGTTTTGCTGCAATTATAGTAAACCAGGATTACCACTGTAGATGTTTTGATTCTCGTTGAATACAGAACTATAGTTGTCATACTGATCTAATACTTAATACATCCTGGTATTAGTCTCGAAATCACTAGGGAACCCCTCACTGTATATAGTGTGTTCAAAATTGGCCAAGCCCTCTTTTTTGTTCTTTAGAATTGATGTCTATATTCTAAAACTGTTTTTGTTTTCAAAGTGTAACTACATAAATTGCTTAGATAACTAGTGGAAGATCATGCAAGGCGCATAGCAGAGTGTGGAATTACAGAAGAGGTTGAATAAGAAGAAAATGAGAAAATATTTCCCAGTTGTTTTTGTTTTTTGGGTTTGAATGAGAAATTGATTGTTGAGTGAGTGGTGTGAGATTGTTTTAAAAAACAATTTTCATAACCTAAGAGTGTAAGAGGATCAAATAGGCCTTAGTATTTAATACGGACAATACAATCCACTTGTTTGACAAGTGTTCCTGATGTTTCAGGAAGCATGCGACAAACTGGCTAGTGTGTAAAACTCAATCACAAAACATGTCATTTATCCAAATGTAGAGGAAGATGTTAAACAGTTGTGTTTGTACATAAACAGATTCCCAAACTTCTAGTTTCCCAGTGGAAATTTATTTCAGGATACTCTACCTCACCAAATGTTTTGTATTTACAAAAAATCACAAGATGCCATTGATTGCCTTCAACTATCTCCAAATAAAGAATTATCAGCGCTCTGTCGTCAGCCTGTAGCAATTTAATAAAATTGTTATGGTTAGTCAAAAACCGGACAGACAAACTTGACAGTTTAACAGTTATTAGCTACACGCAACAGAAAGTGAGTTTACAGAACCTTTTAGAGGAGTTTGCGCTTCTGTTTTTCCTGTTATCATCTGACTTTGTTGATGAAGCCTCTTTCTCTCTGGCGGCTGCTTCTCTTTTCATTTTCTTCCACTCTACTTCCATGGCCTTTGTGAGAGTATCGACTTTCTTTGTTAGCATCTGAAAAAAAAAATCATCTTCACTGTAATGTGAGAAGAGAAGGGGTGGAGAATAGTTGTCACTATTACCTTAATTTCTTCATCTTTAGATTGTAAACTACTGTCCTTAGTTTCGCAAGACTTCCTCAAATTGATGACATCCTGTTGCAGCTTATCATATAGAAAACCTGATACCACATCATCCCTAACTGATCCGTTTGTTTTCTTGCTTTCAGGGTCTTCATTGACATTAACAGTGGTTTTAATTTCTGCTGCTTCTCTTTCGTCATTGCATCTGTTTAACGTCATGTCTGTGTTCACCTGCATCTCATTTTCCTTTTCAGCATTATCAGTAACTTTACTTCTGGACGCCCATATTCCTTTCTTCAACATATTTTCTGCAGAACTGTATCTCTTTGTAGGGCTCCCCAGTTTTAAATTCCCGGGTACAATGTCTGTGTTATCTTTTACATTTGGTTGCTGGAACAAAGAGCTTCTAACCGCAGATGCCCTTGGTTGTGATGTGGATCTCTTTCTCAGCCCACTACCGGTTGTTACGAAACCTAGGATGTTCGACTTTTCTGCTTTTGGAGATGCACCAGACACATTCATAGAGTTTGGATAACTTGAGAAATGCTTTAAGCCTTCCTCCAGTGTTTTAAGCCTTAGCTTTAGTTTATCCTGTAGTAAACACCAGATAACATTAGTAATACGTTAAAAATTAAATTAGATGCTTATACGGAGGACCCAAAAAGTTGGATAAACACCTTCAATTGTGACTCTGCCTTAGCTGTTCTCTCTGATGTAGTTAGCTTGTCTTTCAACCGTTGAATCTCTGCCTTCATATATGCAAAGACGTACACTTGATGATAGAAATTTCTTGCTCAATATTTCAAATAAGTTTTAGGAGTGAAAAACGTGTTTGAATTGTCAGCCATTTTTCTCACTACATTTAGGACAAGAGTAATATTTCTCTCGCTTGGACTCCTAAAATTAGATAATTATCAGTTTATACCCTCATTAACTGGGACATCCTCTTTGAATATATAAGGTTATTGTAGCTATCTGGAGCAAAACTATATGAGTAACAGTAATATTAGTATTTTGGTCGTGAAAACAGGACCATATGATCTCGAAAGATTTTCAAAGGAAGATATACCTGCATAATCCTTCTTTCTTCCAGCCATTGCCTGACCGGCATGACCTTATCATTTTCGTCCTTCCACTCATTAGCCACAACATTTGCAATTCTGTTGGCTGAAACTTTTACCCTTGCTAGCTCCCTCTCTAATGACCTCTTCTCTTCCTGAAAAATTACACAAAACCATAGATCAATCAACAAGTCATTTGGAGCTAACAGTAAATTATGCCAATAACTCCTTAAGGTATGCCTACTTGCAATTCAGAAATCTGTCGCTGATAATCACGAACAGCATTAGCAGTAGCCCCACTAGCTAAGATAACTTCCTCAAGTTCTTGAATGGTTTGGCTAAGCTTTTCAACTTCTAAAATCTTTTGGCGATGCTTTTTCTCTAAGATTTTTTTCTCCTCCTGTTTTGGGAAGTTGTAGATTAGCTGAACCACTTATACCTCACTAAAGAAACCAAATATGATAAAGCAAATACAGAAACTCATGCCTGGGAGATTTCAATCTGTCTCTTCAAGTCAAAGTTCTGATTTCGAACCTCCTCAACTACTAGGGACCTCTCTAAAGCACTTCTCAGAATGCTCTCTGCTTCTAACAATCCTGTCTCTTTTGATTTTGTGAGTCGTTCCAAAGCTTTATTTTCTTCTTGAAGTGAATTAATCTATGAAGCCAAATTGGAATGTTATTTGTTAGTGTTGTCAACATGCTAAATTTACTTAGATTTTGTTATTTCCTTGTAAACACATCCTTGTTGGAAACTGCACCAGATGTACCTCATTCCTGTACATTTTTATCTCAGCTTCAAGGGGAGCAATGGCAGTCTTAATTGGAATAAAATCTTCATCCTTTTGATTTGCATGTACCCTTCTAAGTGTTGCTTCTGCAGCATATTGTGAAGCCAATGCATCCTTCTTTTCATCCGTCAGTTTCTTGATTTCTTGATTCTGCTTATGAATAGATTAAAATAAAAGAAGACATGCATTTTAGAGTCAACCATTGGTTAACATGGTTCCAACTTTTAACTTCCAAGAAATAATAGTACCAGCCCATTGCACCTTTTGTTTAAGACGATCCTCTGTAGCTCTAAGTCTTTCATCCAGTTTACTGACTCCATTTCTCAACTGAAAGAGGAGAAGGATAATTACAGCTAATATCAGCATTGACGAAGGAGAAATATATATATATATATATATATATATATATATATATATATGTATATATATACTTCGGTGACATAAACAACATACACATCAAGCCTATGTTATTATGCGATATGCATAATTTATATAATCAGCTTTCCATTTTGAATTCCAATACGAAGTTCTAGGTGGGTGGTGTGTAGTGTATTTAGTTGAGTTATTATTTATTAGGCGATCCAAAATTGTAATAGTTTTCATATGACACATAATTGATTTTTATTAATTTCCGTAAATTGAAGGACATGTCACATAGACATTGATCGGCACCATGTACAGTAGTAATTTTGGACTACCAAATAATGTCTAGTATTGCAGTAATAAAAATTACCTCTTCTATGGCCTTGTCTTTGAGAGCCTCATTTGCTCTTAATGCTTTGATATCACCCTGACAAGTCGCTAGTTTGTTATCTTTTTCTGCAATGAAGATCCAATGGTGTGTTATTGCAAGGTCTAAGAACAACAATGCCATCAACACTCGGGAATGAAAGAAGAGAACTAAAAGCCGACGGATTAATGGTGAAACAGAAACATAAAGAAGAACAAATCAGAATAAGAACCTTTGAGTTGGTTTTGCAAGCTATTAATCTCCAACACCACCGGGTCAGGTTGGACAAGTGGAGTCTTTTCTCCACATTGCTCTTCCAAGCTCACCATTTCTCTTTTTGGCGCTAGGAAAACGCACACTGATAGATCACCAAAAAGATGGGAGGACTTAGTGGCTTATATCTCTACAAGATGTTTTGGTTTGGTTCTTTTCCTTTTTAGGTGCTACTAAATGACAAAGTAGGCTGAGTCCAAAAACATCAACAGCAACAACAAACGGAGGCTCTCATGAAAACTATTAATAATTAGAGAATTGTTAAAAGGCAGAAAAAGAGAGATTGTATTCTTTTCGTATAAGGAATTGGAGAGGCATGAGATGAGAAAACCTTCCTCTTTGCTGAAGCAAACTTCACAAATCAAATGCATAACAGTAAAAGACCGGCCTAGCCGGCTACTCCTTAAAATTCTTCTACCTTATACTGGACTATAACGGTCACTTTCAGGATGTTATTTTTCCTTTCATATCTTTAAATTCCAGTCTTAGCTGTTATGATGATGAAATAATGACCTTTATCTTTTCTAGATCCTGTTATTGTTATGGATAAGGGTTGTTCCGTGCCGTTGATTCCTTATAGGAAACTACTTCCGCACAAAAGTCCTAAACAAATGGGACTAACAATGACTTCGTTGGTCTGTTAAAACCGTAACCAACCCCACAACTATTTCCAGTTCCCTTCAGCTAAAACAAACAACCAAAGTATATAGGTTGTACTTGTTTTTTGAAGAATAGTATAATAATTTGTACTTGATTTAACACAATAAGACTAATTATAAATGTTACTTTTGATTTCTGAAAACAATAATGGCAATAATTTTGGCCTACCTAATGCATCATTTCATTGCGCTGGGGAGCAATAAAGTTATGCATTAATCATACTACTATTCCCCAAATATAATCACTTTGGTCTAGTGAATTGCTTAGTCGCAAAAATAGTTCTGAGATCATTTCTGTTTTTACTTGATGCAAGTTATTCCGATTAGATTGAGAATATAACAAACGAAATGAGTGTACTCGTGATCATGTTCAAATTTGAAAACGACAAACTAAAGTGACTTTGAAGAACAAATAATTTTGGATAAATATGTTGACAAGTTCTCATCTTTGCTTAAAAGTATAAAAAATATATATTAAATGTTGATTGTTCACAGGTCCAGCTGTTTGAGTACACAGGGCCGAAGCCAAATGGCAATCCTTGGTATGTAGGCCCAATTTTATTTTAATATATGCGACAATAGGAAGGGTTTATCTTTGTTCAAAGCCATGAAAAGAGTTTTCCGATGAAGTATGATTAAACTTAATGATTTCTTAATAGAATTTTGCCATTAGTAATCGCTGTTTGATAGTGATGTTATGAGAGTGGGATCAAGCTAAGCTTCATGTAATCAGATTTGACCCTTTGGGTGTATATTTTATGTTGGTTTGAGTTGGTAGATTTTGAACAATATAAGTTTTAAGGTCCAAACTAACCCAAAAGAAAAAAAAAAATTGAATTTATAAATGTAATACGAGATACAGTATTTTATACATGGTGGTGGCGTAGGGTTGGGTCCTCTACGTGTTGGTCAACCCGGATATTGAAATGCACGCGTATATTTTTTATTTTTTATTCATATACACTACTAGAAAACTAGTTTTTTTTTTTTACCAATTTTCTTAAAAAAAATTATTTAAATTTATAAAAAAACTTATTTCTTGTAATTCTTTCAAAAATTTTACAAAAATATTTCCATAAAAATGAGAATTTTTAGTAGTGATAATTATAATATGCATTTTTCAGTCATATATGCCCATGCGACTATAAAATTTAAAGATTACAAAAATTATCCATGTAAGTATTTAACAATTTGATATCTAATTCAGAACTGACTATACAAGTAACAATTTCGTAATTTTATGAATGAACATAATTTTGAACACTCAACTTGTACAGCTATTTATTCTTGTTTCCCAATTTAAAAATTGGTTTACGCAATAAAAGTTCTTGCACAAGGAATTGGGCTCCATTTGTTCAGATCCAACCAGCAGTGAATGTTGAAGTTGAGCCCATTCTAATTTTTTTTAGCAATAAAATTAGGCTAATACTATTTACGCTCTTATTCTATAAAATTTCTTAATACTTAATTTAAATAATTAGATATTAAAATAAAAAGAAAGATTGAAAATTTAATATCTTTTATTTTTTTAAAAGATAATAAAATCTATTAATACCTAATTTAAATAAAAAATAATAAAATAATATTCTTAACATTTCTCCTTACTTTAATATCTATTTATTTGAATTTGATATTTCTTCTTTTATTTTACTTATAAGTTTTCCTATTTTTTATTTGTATATGTCTTGTCATCTTCCTTTTCTATGAAATCACATCTTCATTCAACTTTATTTTCTACATTAAAGTATTTTTTTCCTTTATCAAGTTCATTTTTTTTTATTTCTTTCAAATTTCATGGTAGTATCATTGACTCTTTGATGGATGTTGGAAACGGTTTCATCTACATCTTTATTTCTTCCTTAATATCAAGTTTCTTAAGAAAAATTCATCATGTTTTTTCTTTGACTTTTCTTTTATATTCTCGTTTGTAGTTAACTATTTTTTCATCCAATCTAAAATAAAGTTTTTTTTTTTCATGTGAACTTTGAATATTTTCAAGTTATTTGCATATTTAATCACACAAATTTTGTGTGTCCAAAAGACATGTTATAATTTTTTTCCAATAATTAAGCAACACTTAACAAATTATGATTAATATTAGGAACATATAAAACATTACAAATTAATTTGATACCCAAATAACTTCTAACTGCAATTGTTCGCATACCTTTCACATCCATTTATTCTCCATTACCAATTCTCATTTTAGAAATAACAGATTCTTTGAGCTCTTTGAAAAGTTCTCGATCATAAGTCATGCGGTTAGTACAATCACTGTCTATAAGTCAATTTGTATATTTGTTGATTGTAGAGCATGTTGACACAAGGAGAAGTTTTTGTTCGACTTCATCCTCTAAAACCTTGACGGGTTTTTTAGTTGTGATTTACATATCTTTTCTATATCCCATTAGACCACATTTGCAATATTTGACACAATTACCAGAATTTTCTCAACTATTCTAGAATTAAGAAATTCATTCCCTAACAGTTTTATCTTGTTAGTAATACTCAATAATTTGTTTGAATATTCATTAATTATCTCATACTCTTGCATCTTTTATATCTCAAATTCCATTATTACGTTTATAACTTTCATAGATCGAATCTTCTCATTTCTTTCATATTGATTTTTCAAATAATTCTAAATTTATTTGAATGGCTTTAACGTCATGATTCTATTGAAGATTATTTATGAAACACCAAGCAAACAAATATAATTTCCTTTCTATCTTTTTGGTTTTATTTTTTTGTAAAATTTTATTTAAACTATAATAAGATCTTTAGACAACAAGTCAATAATATAATATCCTTTCTCAGTTTTCCATGCATTCAATATTTCAATGTATGATTACATTTTCTTCCAAAAACAAAACAAACCCTCTTATGTATATAGAATTGTCCACATGGAATTGGGCCCATTCTCACTTTATATGTTCTGTATAAAAAATTATCAGGTGTAGTAGTTTATTTATTGAAGTAGAATTAATTGATTAAAAACATGTCATTTTGAACAACTGAAGTGATAAGTGATGGCAGTTTCTTTTTTAATGCAACATTGATGGATTTCTGAGTTGAGTTAACCAACAACTAAATTCAGCTTTTCAGGATAACAATAAAATTGGAAATCTAAAAAGCATAGAATTTATTAAGGATGTTGATGGCTGAAGCATAATGTGCTCAACCATCATGATAACTACAAATCCAATTGAGTTTGATACGCCTTCAATCTTTTTAGGGTGGGAAAAACATTTGGAATTGTCTTTCATTAAACAATTCTTTTATGAGGGTTCTTTCATTAATGCTGTCAAGAGTGGAGTTGGTCACGTGAGGGGGGAATAATGTCCATGTGTGTTTTAAAGGAGCCTTAAATCCAAAGAAAGAATAAGTTTAGCCTACAGGACTCTCAAATCTCAAATGGTCGTTAATTAATTCATGTTTTCTCGTCCCCGTAAAGAAGAATAAGAATATGTGCGTTTCCTGTTCACTTAGACTTCATTCAACGTTCCCAGTTGAAACCCAGCATTTCCAATTCCAAATTTGGACACTGCCAATATTAGACCTTTTAAGGAAGTTGACAAAGTATGAATACCAAAAAGTTGTTTCAATGACTGACATGCCCCTCATCATAGGCCTACAAACTTTATATCTTTCTAAGTAATTCTCATTATTGAGATAAATAGTATGGTCACACAGAAAGAAGAAGAATTTTTCAATTGCTCTGGTTCAATATGTAGGTGAGAATGTTTAAAATGGTATTGTGTAATCAATTTTATGTAAAATGTATTGAACTACAGTGCCAAAAATGTTTACCATGCCCACTTACTTTATTCGTAAGAGGACAGTTTAAGAAACATCTTGGCTTTTACAAGAATAAGTGGCAGATGGGTCAAGCAAGCTCTCAGAATCGTTCAGACCATCGTTTCCAATAGAGAATCTCTTCAGAATATAAACAGCAAACTCGTTAATGGATTGGAGATATAACCAAACTCTTATTCCCTTTCTCTCTTTCTACCCTGCTTCCTCTATCCCTCAATTCTCTCTCCTTTTGGATTGATTGCAGTCATTCAAGGGGCCATGGATGTAACAAAAATGCTTGTGCAGTATAGATACCATATCGCCATAGCAATAGCATTTTCGCTGTCCTTTTCCTTGATGTTATATGCAGCACCACGAATCATGACCATTCTGGCGTATTTTTGGCCTTTGTTTGCTTCCACTACAGTCTTCTTGGTTGCAATAATAGCTTTTGGAGGGTTTTCTAAATTCTCAACTGAAGATCATGGACATGGTGAAAAAGCTGGTAAAGGACTCTTGGATTATGTAACAGACGTGCCAGAACTTACGGAGGAGGCTCGAAACTTCTAAGTGCATAGGGTATTAAAATTTCAAACTTTGTTTTCCTAAGGTAGAAATCCTTTTAAGTCGAAAACAGTGATCAATGATAACTTTTCCTCTGTATCCAGATTCATGCCCAGGTGACAATTATATCAATCATGTAAAGTGAATCAGCAGTATGAACGAAAATAAAAGTATGAACTTCTGGAAATGATTAGTGTCTTTATTTAATTTCTGTTTCCAAATCTCATGCCTGGTTTGGCTCAAGTAGTGATATGTTTATAATTCTGAACTAACATTAACTTTGAGCAACAAAGAAAACAGATTCCTGTTAGTATTAATTTTAGTATATATTCTGTCATCATTTTTATTAGGTAATTAATTTATCTATTTATAGATGAAAATTGACAAATAACTACAATTGAGTAACATTTGCCATTTTATGGAAACAAGGTACAACAACAAAAAGAAAAAAGTGATCTGAAATAGTTGTTAAGATTATATATGAGAAACAATATGAGAGATAAGATGCCATCATTAAATACAACTATATGTAAAATAATTGAGATGGAGTGGATGTATAGGTCATAAGACATGGACTTCAAAAGAGGCTGTCACTTGATTCAGCGTTGTCTTATGGGCAACAAGCTTCATGCCAAACTAAATATAAGTTTTTTTTTTAATCATCACAGATTGTAGCTTTTGGTGATTGATACGACGAATCTTTCCTTTATTGTTATCTGAGAAAATGTTTTACAAGCATGAACCTACTAAAGTGGCCGTGCACTTTCCCTCCATTCCTGTTAAGGTAATGTATATCTCATTCAATATTTTATTTTACATATATATATACCTAACCAGTTATTTGTGCAAAAGTACGTAACTTTGTGTTCATGTCAGCCTTGATTCTTGGCTAGGATTGACTCTCGCGACCTTATTGATGGACATTAACCGATTGGATCGAGGTATAAATGTGGTCTTGGATTGTTTGGCTAGTTTGGGTCCTTGGTGTGTTCTTGAATCTGTATGCAGTGGGTTTTGACGCGGAAGTTAGTTGGGGGGAAGAACGATCAAGAATTTTGTGGAAATAGTAGCCAGGTCTATGGTTAAGAACTTAAGATGATTCATTATGTCTGATATCAGCTTCTGTCAGGGTTCCTGATTGATCAAAATCTAGTTGTCTAAAAATATCCATAACAACTAAAATATCTTCTTGGTTGATCTTTCCCATTTCCTTCAACTTGTACAAAACGAACTCTGTAGCACTGCAAAAACGAAAAAAATGAACGGGAGGGTTTAATGACTTAATTCAGCTAAATATCGGTGCAATCTATCAATGCTAGAAAGTGGATGTTATATATATGAACTTACTACGACTCGTAGTGCAAATGATTGAGAGAAGGATCCATATAAGCTTTTTTTTTTTTTTTTTTTTTTCATTACCGAGAATACTTGTTCTACTTACCTGACAACATGATCTCCATCAAGATCAGCGGCCTCAAGATCAAGGATTGACAATTTTCGTTCAAGAACCATTTTTGCTAGTAACTTTTGTCTTTTTTCAGTATAAAATTCAGCAAGATAAGCAAAAGACTGAGCTAAGCAAATGGTGCTGCTCAATATCCAGAACACAGCAAAAGCACGACCAGCAGTACTGGAAAAGCTCTTATCCCCATAACCTAGAGTGGTGACTGTGGAGCAAACACAATAGAGGGCATCAACAAAATCTAAATTTTCAATAAAATACAGGAAAATAGTCCCCACAATCATAAGCACCAAAAAGATGGATGCTGCCAGCATGAATTTGTATTTAGCTTTGTTAGTTTTAATCTCTTTGGAAATCTCTTCTGGACCAAAATTTTCACCTATAAATAAGGTTTTAACTAGGATGATTTCCTGCTTTTCAACGATATAATCTGCTGCCTTGCTAAGAATTAGCCCTACAAGAGCCATGCCAGTGAAGACGTAAACGCAAGCAATAAGTTTTGAAAGTTGGCTATCTGGCACAAGATCTCCATATCCAACTGTTGTCATTGTTACAACACAGAAGTAAATGGCATCAAGAAACCCATTGGTTTTTATGCCCTTTATCTGATTATTTGTTAGAAGGAAGCAAATGGTTCCTCCGCCAAGGTATGCAGCTAACCATAAGAAAACTGGCTTGAAATGGAATTCTGCTTCTGGTTTGGCATCTATACGTCGAGGATGTAAAGGGTTTTGATCATCAGCATTTTGCCCTTGGAGATTGACCTCCTTCTCCGAAGCATTACCACTTCTAGGCCTTTTCCTCTGGAGGTCATTTTTCTCATTGAGATGTTCTGAAAGCAATGACTGCCGACCCTCCTCGTCAACACCCATCAGCTTACTGAAAAAACTTCCTATGTTATCAGGCCACCTGTGTATTTTCCTTCACTGAAAAGAGACAAAATCATGTGACTTATTCAAATTTTATATTATCTATATCGTAACTTGATTGTTTAAAAGACGTACCATGCATGTGAACATTGGGGAAATCAAATAGTTTAAACGCCAATAAGCACAAAAATATGAGCACACCTGAGAGGGGCTGTTTCTAGTAGATCAACTTTCAGAAAAGAAACTGATTGACACACTTCTTCAAATTCTGTTAGATTAACTGAAAATAATACCTCCCCATTTAAGGAAATTCATAATTCATTCAAAATAGCCAATTTTGTCTCTCATCCCCCCAAATGGACACTTTAAAACCATAAACATCTTTCACAAATTAAGGATATATTTTTCATAAATATGTTCTTTTGTGTAAATTGAGAAAAAAAATATCACATTTATAAATATCTTTCAACTTTAATTTTATTTTAATTAATCTCTGAACTTTATTAGTTTTTAAAAACACATCTGGAATGTTTAATTTATTCTAATTAATTTTTACTTTTATAAATGTTTGAGTTAAATAGTTTACATTAAGTGTTAATAATTCTTTTTTTTTGTCACAACTCACTTTTTATAAATTAACAGAAGAAGTTAGAAATAAAGAATATAATAAAAACAATTAAAAAGGTCTACTTGATTTTACAAATAATTGTTAATTGATTAGTCTTTTTAATTGTTCATGTAAAAATATAGTAATAACTTTAAAGACGTTGATTATGGGATAATTTTCTCTTTCAAAAATGAATTTAATAAGTTTTATGAGTGGAATTTATAATGTCTATAACCTGTATTGAGGAAGTACAGATAATATTTAAAACTGGAATTTCATTTGAAAATGATCGAATTTAGTTTTATTTAAATACTGAAATTTATTAAAAGTACATTTTTTTAAACTGTGCTTCAATTTAAAATTCTGAAAAAAATTATAATTATCACATATATATATATATATATAATTTTATTAGCTTTTATAATGGTTAATTCAAAATTTATATTTAAAATAATTTCTAATTAATTGATAATGTATTAACCGATAAGTGAATAAAATTGTCTTCACAGCTAATTTAATTCAAATAAATAGAAGATTTTTATAATTAAAATTACAAATATATCATATCCATAGTCTTTGTCTTAAGATAAAATTACTTTTGATGAAATTTTTGCGTAGATTCTAATTATTTTTGTTTGAAACTAATAACATAGTACAATAATTTTTATAGTTTTATTTTTTAATGTTTTATTTTGGATTAGGAAGATTTGAGATGATGGAAAAAAAAGGTAAGATTATTTAAATTAAAGAAAAAAAAGTAAAAAAAGAAAGAAAGAGAGTAAGAAATAATAAAAAATATATAATTGATTTCAAAGAATAAAAAAAATATAATAATTAGATAATTTAATGAATTATGAAGATATTTAAAATTAAAATTAAAAATTATATTTTTATTTGTTATTAATTAATTTATTATGAAAATGTAAATAATTTAATTTTTTATTATTATTTAATATTTTTAATTATTTATTATAATAAAAAAAACAAAAAACAATAAATAAAAAAGACAAGCGATGTTTCTATTTGTTTGGCCCCATCCTTTCAAAGTCTTACTTTTCTTTTTCTTAATCTTTTTCTACACACTTACATAAACCAATAAGCGTGTATATGCCTCTCTTGGAAGCAAAAAGGACTAAATGTTTTTTAAATTTCTCTTTTTTATTTTGTTTTAATATTATAATTAATGATTTATAATTAAAAGAATAAAAAAATTAATGAGTTATAGATATTTATCGTAAATAATTTAACTCCAAAAAACTATTTATAAAAAAATTATATATTTAAATATTAATTAAAATTAAATTAAATTTCAAAGTATTTATTTATAAATGAAAATCGAAGATCAATTAAGAAAATATCAAAATTTCATGTATCTTTTTGTAAAAGAAAAAAAAGTAAGAACTTAAATATTTTTTCTCCTTATAAAAATACTATTAGTTATAGAACTAATTAAGTTTTATTCATTCTTATCAAACATTTCATTAGTTATAGAACTAATTAAGTTTTATTCATTTTTATCAAACATTTCATGTTTATTCATTCTTATCAAACATTTCATAGTATTTGTAACGATCCTACAAATCGCTACTATAATAATACCTTAACAAAATAATAAACAAGTAAATAATAACCACCACAATAAATGTTATAATTAGCTAGAAAAATTTGCTACAAAATTTATTTTTCACTAATTTGCAACTAATTAACTATGGAATAGTGAAAGAATAAGGTTGTAATTAATCTATAGTAAAATAACTAGAAGACTAATATTTTTATAGTTATTCCCTCACTTAACAGAAAAATAATTTAGTTAAGAAAAATTTTGTTACTAATCCCTTGCTATAAATATTAGTTATGTTACTTTTTGAAGTTATTTCCTAACTAAATTGTGTAACATACAATCATAACTAAACTATAACAAATTTATAGCAAATATCAAATTAAAAAAATATTAAATTATTAGGAACCATTCTTATAAATTATTTTAGTTTTATAAAAAATTATTAACAAAAAAATACTTGTAAATTTCTCTAAAAATATATAATTATAAAAAATATTTTTTGATCTTTTTGAAAAAATATCAATAAAAATTAAATATAATATTTTCTTAAAAAAATTATTTTTACCAAATTTACTACAAATAAATAAATTATTTTTTGTATCTAAAATAAATTATTTGAAAATAATTATAATTTTTTGGAAAAAATATCTAAAAAAATTGATAAATATTTAAAATTATTTTTTGTAAGTTTTTTATAAATTTAAATTTGTTGGAAGTATTTAATAATATTTAAATTAATAGAAAATTTTATAAATAATATTTCTTTATAATTTTTTTAGAAACTATTCTTTATAAGAAATAAATAAAAAATTTATATTCAGAACTACTAATTTATCTTTTTTTATAAATTTTTGAATACAAATCTTAATTAATTTTTTCTCCCTTCTTTTTCATACATCATTTTCTCGTAAAACCTAACTGACGCTACTACAAATACCATCTCGCTGCCGCTCTCGCTCCCGTTGCCGCTCCTGCTCTCGCTCCCTACCGCTCTCGTCCCGCTTCCGCTCCGTTCTTGCTCCCGTTCCTGCGCCATTCTTGCTTGCTACTACCACTCACAGTAATCTCTTCTTCGTACTCTCTGGACTTCTGTAAAATTATTATCATAACTTTCTGTGCGTAGCTTAGCAACTTTGTAATGATCTATTTGGAGAATTTTGGATATGGTCACCTAATTTTTGAAGTTGTTTTATTTTCTCAACTTGTTATTTAGGTTTTGCGCAGAGATAGAAAAGGATAGTTATGTGCTTTTGCTTTTAAAAATAAATAATTATATCAGGTCTGAACAATGAGCATTGTAATACTAGAAAAAGAAAACAGGCATTCAATACTTGTGTGATACCTTACTAACTCTTGAAACATGCAGACTAGTAAATATGCTATTTGGTAGAAAACTGAGGTTGTAATGGATGCTTCACAGCAATTGAAGTGTGAATTCATTTGGTGGCAGCTCTTGATGCCTAATTATTGTCTCACTAGACGGGTTTTGTGGGACACCCGGCAGCTAGACAAAGAAAACAGAGGAACATTATAGCAGAGGTACATAAAATTCATTTATCAAATTGATTTTTCAAAGGTTATTTTAAACATATAACAAGTACCTGGAGTACAATAAGAGGTTTTAAGGCGTGTAATTACAAGTTTATAAGATAGTTTTTGTTAAATTGTATGCAGAGCCCAACTAAAGTTGTAAAGATCGAACTATTACTTTAATGCCATGAAAGAAAGTTATATGATCACCATAAGCATCTTTTCACTTTTATGTTTCTAGGTGTTTAAACCAACTCTAACTCGATTTACAAATGTTGGTGGCCTGATAGGAAATTCTCTTGCTGAAGTGAGCAAAGGTAAATTGATATATACTACGTACTAATAAATAAAATAATGTTTTTGTATTACCTGGTGTAAAAAATGAAAAGCCATGATATATTGATTATGGCATTAGGAATTGTTTTGTCTTAATAATTTGAGCTTAGGATAAACTCAACTTCACAAAATTATAAGGACCATATGGACAATATCTCTAATCAATAACCTCTCAAACCCAAAACTAAATAATGAAATTGTCTGTTAACATATTCCTTCTCACCTAGGCATAAATACCATATTTTATTTGGATTTAAGCTTTATTCAATCTTACAAAACTTATGTATAAAAAATGAGAATTGCTCAAGCCTTACAAGGATTACATTTGTCATCCCTTAGTTGATTAGGATGTCAACATTTTCCAAATGGTACATCTTGTAAATGAAGTTATGGTATACATTTTCTATGAATTTTCTACTCTTTAAATGCACACTATTATTGAATCATTATACCTTGTTGAATTTTGTAATTGATGACTTTAAGTTTTTCATATGCAAGTTAGCATCGTTATCCTATTGTCTTCAATGTTGTACATGATAGTTAGAACATGATTAGTCTAGCATTCCTTATAATGATAAAATAAAACTTTAGGTATTAGAACTACATAATGATGTAATCTCTTAAAAGACTGAATGATACATTTTAGTGTAATAATTATTTTTCTTTATATACTATGTTTTTGTTATATAAGATAATTTTCTAGATTCCTAAATGGGGAAATAATTCACTTATAATTGCTTCCAGATGTTGATGTTCTCATAACTATGGTCACTAATGAAGCTCAAACAGACAATGTTTTGTATGGAGAAAATGGGGCAGTTTTGATGACATTTTTTTTAATTTATTGAATTTTCTATGTGTAGAAACTCAAATTATTTCACATAAAGAAGAGCACAAACGTCTTATTTCTTATGTTACTCATCCCAGATCCTGTTTTAACAAAATCACAAGTGTTATATATTTACTTTTTTACTAGTCAACCACTTTTCGGTCATCTCATTCACAAACATAGTTGCAGGCACAAACTGATATGCAAGCATTGATGCAAGTACAAATGAAGACACAAGCAAAAATGCAAACACTCATGCAACAACAAATGCAAGAAGAAATGCAGTCTTTTAAGAAAGATTTATTATCTGCCTTAAAGAAACAATGATGAAAATGTACTTTAAACTTTGTTTCTATTTTTAATTGTTATATAGAACTTTTTAGTTGAAATATTATTTTTGTTATGTTTTAATTGTTTGAAACATCATTTTAACTATATTTAAACAATATTTTTATATTGAAAATTGATAAGTTTGTCTTCTTTTTTTCAAGAATATGAGTAATAATTTAAATGTTAAACATTTGATATTATAATATTATGATGACACATTAGCAGAAATATTTATTATGCCAATAAATTATGAGAGATTAGCTACGGATTAGTGAGAAAAGAATTTTGATAAAAATTGTGAGGGATTAACTATAAAATAGAGAGAGAAACATTGTGAATGATTAGCTACGGATTAGCGAATAACCAATTGTGAGGAATTAACTATATAATAGCTAGAGATAAATTGTCAAGGATTAGTGAGAGAAAAATTGTGAGGGATTAACTACAAATTAGCAATAGTGAAATTGCGAAGGATTAACGAAAGCAAAATTGCGAGGGATTAGCTATGGATTAGCGAGAGAAAAATTGCGAAGGATTAGCTACAAGTTTTGGGAGATTAAATTAGCTAAATAAAAATAAAATTTCATCATTTAAATTAGTGAGGAACTTAGCAACAGTTTAGCGATAAAATTTGTTACAGATTTAAGAGAGAATACATATGTAACTAATTAGCTACTTGGATTTAGCGACGGATTATTCCATAGTTAATCTGTAACAAAACATATCAGCGAGAGATTAACTATAAAATAGTTACGAAATGTGTCATAGCTAATATGTAAAATTCTTGTAGTGAACCAAGGTAAGCATGACAACGGGCGGGGCGGGGCGGGTTTTGCCTCCCGATCCTCGCCCCTGACTTTTTAACCATCCCCGTCCTCGCCTCCGATCCCGTCGGGTTAGAAATTAATTCCCCATCCCCGTCCTCGCTGGGTTTCGGGTTTTCCGCCCCGTCCGTTCCCGATTTATATTATTTTTAAAAAGATAATTACATTTATAATAAATTAATTTTACTATCTATTTTTTATATATAAATAAATATTTATAATAATTATTAATTAAATATACATTTTAATTTGTTATATTTATATTAAAATATATATGTAAAAGAAATATTTAATCATTTTTTATTTATAATATTATTATTATTATTATAACACTTGTATTCAAATATTTGAATATTTATAACACTATTATTATAATATTGTATTCAAACATTTGATTATATATATAAGTTAATTCATTTTTAAGTTGTTATTTAAAAATATGAAATATATAGTTTATAAGGAAATATTTAATAAGTTAATTCTTATTCAATTAGTTCAAAGTAATAAAAAATTAAATTATCAATTCCTTTAATCCTTTAAAATATAATTATTTTATTAAGATAAAATTTGATATATGATAAATAAGAATAATAAGATAAAAAAATATGACATAATAAAACCTAATAAATATAAATTATAAATAAGATAATATTAGTTACTACTAAGATTTATATAAAATATTTAGAAAAAGATAAAGAATAAAAAAAAATTAACTTTGTGTTCATCAAATTGGTTGAAAAGATTGAAAAAAAAACAAATTGATGGGAAAGATTAAGGAAATGTGAAAAACTGAAAGGTAAAAGAAAGAATAATGTAATAAATTAATTGATATAAAAGATTAAAAAAGACAAAAAAATTAAAAAGTGGGAATATAAAAAAATGACCTTACATGTAATAGAAAAAGAAAAGGAAATACTTTTAAAATATTAATATTTAAAAATTTAAATTTAAATATAAAGTCGGGCGGGGCGGGGTCGGGGTGGGGTCGGGGTGGGGATTGCATTACCCATCCCCGCCCTCAACTTTTTAAAGCGGGGAAAACCCGAACCTGCCCTCGTCCCCGGTCAACTCGGGTTTTCCCCGTCAAACTCGGGGCGGGGACGAGTCGGTCCCCACAGGGACGGGTTTAATTGTCATCCCTAATCTAGATTACATTATATTACTGTAATTGTAATATAGACTGAAATCTCGGTTCATTGGCAGAACCTCAAAACATAGTAACATAATTTATTTATATAGATACATGCAAAAATAACTCCTACAAAGCTATCTCACTAAACTATCCCTATTGTCCATTACACTACAAGAAAATCGCTTATTTTTGACGGATTTTTACCGATGGATTTGTAACCGTCGGAATATTAGTTATTAACGACGGATATAAAGTATTTGTGGAAATTGGTCTTACTGACGGATATATCCGTCGATAAATTCGTCGATAAATTAACAATTAATTACCGATATATATATCGATCGGTAAACTCATCAAGTAAATATAACAATTACTTAATCTTAAATATATTCTAATAAATTAATTATTTACCTAATTAAAAAATTAAATACTTTTTCTATTTAATAAATTAATTTAATCATAATTAGATTAATTTATAATAATTTATTAAATTAAATAATTAAAAAAAATATTTAATTATATATAAATATATAAAAATATCTAAAAAATATAAATATATAAATATAAAAATGTATAAATATAAAATATATAAAAATATAAATATATAAATATATTGTATTTATATATTTATTTGGATATACATTTAATTGTACATAAATATAATTTATTGTAAACTATAATCGAAAAATTCTAATAGCTTAGTAGTTGGAGTATCAGCCTTCAACTCTAAAGTACTAGGTTTGATTACTCGTGAGTGACAATTTTCTTAATCTAAATTATAATTCAAACTTCTAAAAATATAAAAGAGAGGAAATAAATAATAAATAGAGAAGTAAATAATAATAATAATAATAATAATAATAATAATAATATATAAAAAAAGGTGAGGGGACTTTCTAGAAAAATAGGTTATAATACATAAAAAATTTAATAAATAATAAAAATATTTTCGATGGAAAATCCATCGATAAATTTTACCGACAACACAATTATCGACAACACAATTATCGACGAATTTTGTCCGTTGGTAATTTTGATTTTTCTTATAGTGATAGTCGTATCTCCATCTCTCAACTCCTTATCTATTCTCATATAAAAGTGATCATCGTAATCTAATTCATGTGAAAAATAATCTTGTCAGTAACAATCCTTTTAATCTAAATTATAATTCAAATTTCTAAAAATATAAAAGAAGAAAAATAAATAATAAATAGAAAAATAAATAATAATAATAATATAAAAAAAAGGAAGAGGGTGTCTTTACAAAAATAGGTTATAATAAATAAATAAAAAATTTAATAAATAATAAAAATATTTCCGATAAAAAATCTATTAATAAATTTTACCGATAAAACAATTTTCAATAAATTTTGTCCAATAATTTCGATATTTGTTATAGTTCACCTCTCAATTTTATCTACTCCCACATAAAATAAAAGTGATCCTTGTAGTCCAATTCACCTAAAAAAAAACAAAAATAAATAATAAATCATTCCTTATAATAAAGTAGATATCTAACAAAAAATTAATTATTATCGTCAAATACACGTCATAAATCACGCTTCAAAAAGATTTGGAAGCAAATGGATTGGAGTTGGCACTGTGGCTGAAGGTGGAGGAGCGGTGGGTATCCAATGGAGATTGAGAGGCTAGGACTGTGGTGGAGGTGCGGTTAGCCCGCGGTGGTTGAGGCGTGGTGAGGTGGATGCGAGAAATGGAGGCTCGAGTGAGGGTGAGGGTGAATGGGTCTGGTAAGGGCAGGGTGAAAATGGGAGCGCGATGCGAGAGGAGATTGGGGGGAGGGTGAGGTTTTGGTGAAATTGGTACTATGTGTGATGGGGAGAGTGGTCACGGGAATCGGATGGTGAGGGAGACCGTGGTGCCAATCAAGGAGAGAATCAAATGGGTGAATTCGTGAATGTGAAAATGTGTGAGGCTAGTGAGTGATGCAGGAAGATGGGTGCAGTGGTTTTTTGTGGCAGTGGGGGCCGGAGAGTGGGAAAAGAGTGAGATTTTGGAAGGAGAGGAGAATGTGAGGGTAAAGAGAGGTGGGGGCTCCGTGAAGGTATATGCCCCATCGGAGCCAAAGAAACCAAATAGCTCCTATTTATAAAATAAAATTTAGGGTAAATCATATTAGATTAGATTATTTGATCGGCTAGACCGAAAGAATAAAATTTTACCTTTTAAATTTTTCTTACTATTTAATTTTTTTTTTCATAAATAAAATTATTATTATTTTTTATTTTTCTTTTTCTCAAATATTTTTACTTTTACTTTTTATTTTTACTTAAAATTATTATTATAAAACATTTTTTTATCTTTTTTTATATTTTAATAATTTTTCTCCTTTTTTCAAATGAGTTGTTATCTACTTATTATTTTATATCTACCCGGATGAAATTAAATTCTGACAAGAAGCATCACAATATACATAAAAAGATTGTGTTACATCTAGGATCACTAACAATGGGGAACTAGACAACCTTCTTTTCAGTTCTTGAAAACTCTCCTCACATTTATCTGTCCAAGCAAAAGGTTGATCCTTACGGTGAACCGAGTCAAAAGAGCCGCTACTTTAGAGAATTTTTATATAAATTTTCGGTAATATCCGGCAAGTCTCACAAAGCTACGCACTTCCGTCACTGTCTTAGGGGTTCCCATTTTAACACTGCATTTACAGATATCCCTTCTGTCGATATTACATGTTCCAAAAACTGCACCTGATCTAACCAAAACTCACATTTTGAGAGTTTGACATCCAATTGTTTCTCTCTCAACACACCTAACGCCGCCCTCAAATGTTCCTAGTGTTCTTCCCGAGTCCTAGAATAAATAAGAATATCGTCTATAAAAACAACAACAAACTTATCTAAATAAGGACGGAAGATCCTGTTCATGTAGTCCATAAACACTGCAGGTGCATTCGTTACTCCAAACGACATGACCACATACTCATAATGGTCATATCTCGACCTGAACGTCGTCTTCTATACATTCTCTTCTTTAACCAGTATCTGATGGTATCCATATCTCAAATCAATCTTAGAAAAGATTGATGCTCCCTGTAACTGGTCTAACAAATCATCAATCATCGGCAACAGATACTTGTTCTTGATAGTCACTTTGTTTAGTTGTCAGTAATCAATACACAATCTAGAGCTCCCATCTTTCTTCTTTACTAGCAATACAGGCGTGCCCCATAGAGATACACTCAAGCAAATGAACTTCTTTTCCAGCAAATTCGCTACCTGTTTCTTCAATTCAGCTAATTCTACTGGAGTCATCCGGTATGGTGCCATAAAGATTGGGCCTGAACCTGGAATTAGATCAATCACAAATTTGACCTCTCTTTGAGGTGACAGTCTTGGTATCTCATCTGGAAACACATCAAGAAATTCACTCACAACCGGTACCTCTTCCAGTATATTATCCTTCACTTCATCCATCTGAGTCAGGATCAGATAACATTAAGTTCCCTCTCGTAGCTCTTTCTGAACCTGCCGAGCTGATATAATAAGCTCATCTCCTGATTTTGGATGCACCTATCTCTTCTGTCTACAGTCAATCAAAATGCGATTGGTGGATAACCAATCCATCCCTAAGATCATATCCAAATCCTTCAAAGGTAAATCGATTAAGTTCATCTTGTACTGTCGTCCTTCTATGACAACTGGGCACCTCAAACACACATAAGAAGACATCACCAGTCCAGCTGCTGGGGTAGATACCCTCAATTCATAGGGTAGGTTTCACACAGGTAACTTAAGTTTATCCATATAATTATCATCAATAAAAGAATGGGTAGCACCTGAATCAAACAAAACTCGTAGAGGTATATCAGAGATAAAACACACACCTTACACTAAATTCTCTGACCTCGATGCCTCTGCTCCTGACAAGGCAAACACTCGCCCTGTAGCTCTTTGTTTCACCTCACTCCTCCTAGGTACTGATGATGCCCCAACTGAGACTATAGCACTGGGCTTCTGTGGGCAGTCTCTAGCCATATGTCCTAGCTTCTGGCAAATATAACAAAGACCTGCTTGAGAAGTCTGGGAAGGAGTAGTGGAGATATTTTGTGGGCACTGATTCCTGTAATGAGGGTCTCCACACTGAAAACATTTCACCCCTGATACAGATCCCGATGATCAGGGTGTTGGAATAATGTTGTCACTCCTGGAGGACTAGAGATGTGAATAAGGCATCCTCTCTCTGACTCCTCCTTCCTAGAGTCTCTCTATTGTCTTCGCTTTCTCCACCAGCTCTGGGAATCTCCTGATAGAGAAAGGAACCATCATGAGCTTGATCTCAGCCCTCAAGTCCTCCTTAAACTTCCTACAAAGTCATTGTTCTGAAGATGTACCTGTGTAGAAACGAGATAAGTGCTCAAATTGTATGACATAATCATGCATTGTCATATTTCCTTGTCTCAGACTCAGGAACTCAGTCTCCTTATGAAATCTAACACTATTAGTGAAGTATTTCTCCATAAATCTCTCATGGAAGGTCTCCCAATTACACACCTCCTCACGTGCAATCATCATCCTCTGAGTCCCTGACCACTAGAACCCAGCCTCATCCACTAGTAAGTATTTTCGGAAGGTAAATTTCCTATCCTCCGAGCATAGGGTAATCTCAAAAATCTTCTCCACTTTATGCAACAATTTCTCTGCTACATCTGGACCCAAATCTCCTCCAAAACGAGGTGAATTATGCCTCATGAACTCAGTCAGTCCCATCTACTCTGACTGGTGGAATCCAGCAGAGGATGACGCCATAGTTGGCCTCCACTGCAGGTAGGTAGCCTGCTGTTGCATGACAGCTGCCAACATTTCCATTGCCCTGCCTAGGGCATCTACACTCGGCTGAGTAGGAGGAGGAGGTTGTTGTGCCATCCTATATCAAACACAACCATAAATACAAAGCAAATATTCACACACACTCACATATTAGAGCACAACGGACTTATCATAGGGTCACTAACCATCCCCACAGATTTACAAGGATACTACCGCTCTGATACCACTATTATAACGACCCTAGAAATCGTTATTATAATGATATCTTCGCAAAATAGTAAACAAGTAAATAACAACATTTCTATTACATTATATTACTATAATTGTAATATAGATTGAAATTTTGGTTCATTGGCGGAACCTCAAAACATAGTAACATAATTTATTTATATAGATACATGCAAAAATAGCTCCCACAAAGCTATCCCACTGAACTATCCCTGTTGTCTAGTAGTCGCATCTCCACATCTCAACTCTTGATCTGCTCCCACATAAAAGTGATCATCGTAGTCCTATTCACATGGAAAAATAGGAGTAAGTATTAAATCATTTGATATAATAAAATAGATATAGAAGTAATAATTACATATTATCATCAATTACAAATCATCAATACACTAAGACGCCTTCCGGAAGTCTACCCTAACTATGCCCGAACTCAGAGGCTATCATCTGTGGGCACATTGTGGTCGACACTCGCAGTACCATTCTGACCACCCTCCACACAAAGTGGGATTATTGGCGCCCTTCATCACTCATTCTGGAGTACCCCTCCGAGCGCGCCACTAGTCATCCTCCATCGACTTCTCACCACCTGATCTCATAGTCTACCTGACCTGACCAATCAGTGAAGTCTGAGACCTCATCTGAATCCTCCAACATAGTTAATACACTAATATATTTTGTACCACCCCGGGTACCATTCAACACAACAACAATCATTCACATCTGCCGGATTCTGGACCACCTGTCCTCACGGCTCATTCGGGTCAATAAATGATAGTACTTGACTGATTCTGGGTACCAACACTCCGGCTCAGTCTAGCCAATACATAACATCTCATGGATTCTGGGCATCAACTTTCGGTTCGATCTGACCCACACACGTCACAACACATTGCTGATTCTTTAAAATTTCTAATTTCATTCTATATTTTAATTATTTTTCCTAACATACATTTACTTTATTTCTAAATTTCCAATTATACCTTTAAACATTTTCTATTATTCCTTTTTCATCCCAAAATCATTAAATTACTACTTTGTCCTTAATCTTTTCTTAAAATTTCATGTATGTCCCTAAATGACTATTTTACCCTTGAACATTTTTTAAAATTCCTTCCTTATCCTGAAAATGACTATTTTACCCTTGGACATTTTTGAATATTCCTTCCATGTCCCGAAAATGACTATTTTACCCTTGGACATTTTCGAAAATTCCTTCCATGTCTTGCAAATGACTATTTTACCCTTGAACATTTTCGAAAAAATTTTCTATATCCCTAAAATGAATTTTTTACCCTTGAATATTTTAAAAAATTCCATTTATGTTCCTAGGATGTAAAATGACTATTTTACCCTTTATCTTTTTTAAAAATTCCCAATTTACCCTCATCTTCAACCTCTGATTCCCAATACGCCATGTCCAACCTCCATGTTTCAAATTTTCAAGTTTCAAACACCCAAACTACTTCCAGATCAAAATTAAACATGAATTATGTCAAATTTAAGTTGAAAACAACAATTTTGTCATATAATTCGTCCTTAATTTCAAGAATTTTAACAAAATTTCAAGTTTTGCAAAACATGAAGAAAATTTCAAAATTAGTCGTTCAAATATTCAGATTTCCACTCTTATTCCTTATTCACAGAGTAACCAATAATTCAGTCTCATATATTGAATGAAATAAACTTCCCCTTACCTGGTGTGGTATTTCTACCAAAGTTTTCCCACTTAATTCAAGCTCTCTCCCGTTTCACCAGATCCTGCACGAGTAGAGTATCGTTTGCTTGAAATTTAGACGAAAGAAGAAGAAGGATGGGAGGGAGAATCAGTTGTTGTTGTAATTCCTTCCCCCCTTCTCACATATATAAAGAATTTTTGGCAATGCAGAGGAAACTTTACTACGAAGTTTTTACACTGTGTAATATTTTTATAATATATAATAATAATAAAAAAACATAGGTAATATTATTTGGCTATAAGTAATTTGTATTTTTGTTCTTGTGGCAATTTGTGACTCGAACCTTGTCCACTACAAAAAAAAGCCTATTATCTACAAAATATTACCTATAGATAAAAATTCGTATAGAGTTTGAAACTGATATTCCAACCACTAAACTACTAAGATTTTTTTATAATAACTTACAAATAAGTTATCTTTATTTACAAATAAATGTATATCCATATAAATATGTAAATATGTAAATATATAAATATGTAAATATATAAATATATATATATATATATATATATATATAAATATATATAATATATATATATATATCAAAATATAAATATTTTTGTATTTATATATTTTATATTTATATATATATTTATATATTTATATATTTACACGGATAAATATAAATATAATTTATTTGTAGGTTATTATCAGAATAATTTAATTGTTAGAATATCAATCTCTATTATAAGTTGAATTCTTATTAATGACAATTTTTTTAATTTAATAATAATAAATAAAAATATTTTATTGCATTACCTATTACCAGATTACATAAAGACAATAGTAACTACGAATTTTTGTAGTGGTCATAACTTAACAAATATTTTTAATTAGTAATGTTATTATAGAACACCTGCTCATATCCTTTTATTTAATAGAAGAAAAAAAGTGTAGAATGAAATGAATAATGTGAAAAAAAAAGAGAGACAAATAAGAGATTGTGATGAAGAAAAATGAAAAAGAAATAAATGAAGTGTGAGTGTTACAAAGAAATCATTTATTTCATAGAAACAAAATCTTTGAGATTTGAGAAGCTGGTGGTAGAAATAACTGATAAATGAAATCATACTTTAAGGCCATGGTTGCCCTGTCCACAAGGGACCCTCCTCTTGATTTAACGGATGATGTCAAAATACATATGCACAAGATAATTCTAGAAGGGTCATGGACCCTGGTTTGATACCTTTCTTGCAGCATGAAACTGAAACAATCCATATAAGTTTCTTATTTCCTGTATCCAAATCACCATGATAAAAAAATATTTAGGAATTAAATTATTTATAAATATCTTAAAGACTTAAAGCAAAAAATTACAAATAAATATTACATTTAAGATATCCCTTCAATTTAAAAGAAAATTTTATTAAGCAACAAATAATATATATTAATAGAAGATAGGTGTATATATGTTATTATTATTATTTTCAATTTTTTAAGATTTGATCAATATATTTTCAAAATATTTAAATTATATATTTTGCATAATTAATAATATTGAGTATAAATCTGGGCAAATTCTCATTTACGATATCTATTTTTGGGAAAACGACTTCCAAATTTATTAATTTATACAAGAAAATTTAACGAGAACCAGTGAACCCATGTCTTAATTTTAATATTTATCCCAATACAAAGATTTGTATGGGAACTGTAAATTAATCTGGTTCTTTGTAGAATTTTCCATATGTACTACGGGATCTATCTCACATAATTTAATGGTTGGAATCTATGGCTCTAGAATCCAGTGTTCTCTGCTAAAAAAATTCAGTGCTGTACTTTTGTTTATGCGCCAATAGTAATCTCTAATCAATATTTGTCCCCTTGTTAAGATATTGAATTTCATTGACTTCAATTCAAATACTTAACTTCATTGCAATTCATTGACACGTAACTCTCATTCAAAGTGGTGATCATAATTATTTCTTTTGAAGTTAATAAAGCAAGACTTAAGAAAGGAGAGAAGGGCATGCAATGTTTTTAGAAGATAAAAAAGAAAAAACAGCTACAGTGACTACAGTAGCCAGAAACGGCATGACAGACCTTAACAAATTGGATATGAAAAAGAGTGATGATACAAATCTGCATGCTAACATAATGATACAGTTGCAATGCAAATTCATGCATGTATTACACTTCAATTGGTTGTCGTTGAGCTTCAATCCTCATCTCCTCCTTCATTTTCCTTATAAACTCTTCGAATTTTCTATTCAGCTCATCTGTATTTGCTAGTTGATCTTCGTTTGTTTCCTTTGTTGTAGCAGCTACCAATTTATCATCTTTTGCCACCATTACTTCACTAGCATCTCCTGTCCCTCCTTCTTCTTCTGCTTCTTCATCCTTCCCCACCACATCTTCTTCTGCAATAAACAATGTGTCTGTGTCGGGTTCATCTTCTGATACCTGTTCGGAATATTCTTCTTGCCTTTTCGCTTCTTCCATTTCTTCCTCTTCAATAACAAGAGGAGCATTCTCTACGAACCGAAAAGCTCTAACTGGTTCTTCAGAAACTTGTGCCTTCGTCGTGGAAGCTTGGAATTCGATGTGAGAAGGTGAGATGGCTAGAAGAGCAAGGATGGCATTACAGATTATAAACATGTATTTCCTTTGAAAAGTGCGAGTGAGCATGGAGAAAAGGCACGTAGAGAAGTAAGCATTGAAACACTGAGGGACTATGGAGAAGCCAGAAGAGTACCAAACAAAGAAAGAAAACACAGACAGTGATAAAACAAAGTGCATAGTTCTTTTCAATAACTTGTAATTGAGTTTCTTCTTTATATCACCCTGATACTTATTATCCATCTTAATTCGACCGGGGATATGCTCGTTCTTATGCCGGAGCCTAAATTAATGGATTGTAAGGCTACAAAGAAATGGACAGAGAAAGGAGTTGAGTTGAGAATTAGTTGATAATCTTGTATAGTTGAGTGAACAAACTAAGAACTCCAACCACCCTCCTATTTATAAGGATGAAGATGGGATCATCAATATTTTATGGGACTGCTATAAATTTACGAAACTGACCTAGTTTTTATCGTGATACGGATAAGCACTAGGAAGGGTGTGATATGATAGAACTGAAATTTGGGAAGCAAACATTTATGGATAGCAAAGCAACTAAACGAAGTTGAAAGTGGGTGAAGTTGGGAGAGGGAATCCAAGAAAAGAATGGAAGGAGATGGTTGGATTCATGAAAGAAGTCGTGTGAAGTTTCTAGCTGTCACCAGTCTTGGCCGACAACTACATGCATCAACATATGCATAGCAAGGGAGCGGGCCGGATTTTGCAAACCCGATTCCCGCATCAACTTCTTTTAATGGTAGTTACATATTAGAAATTAAGTGTTCATTTTTGTTTTTATTAGGTTTAAATTTTTTGTGTTTACCTAATTTATATTATTTTTAAAAAATAATTATATTTATAAAAAATTAATTTTATTATATATTTTTTATATATAAATAAATATTTATAATTTTATAATTTATAATAATTATTATTTAAATATATTTTTTAATTTATTATATTTATATTAAAAAATATATATAAAAAATATTTAACCATTTATATATATATAATATTTATAACATTTATAATAATAATATTATTATTATAATATTATATTCAAATATTTGAATATTTATATTATTATTATTATACTATATTTAAATATTTGATTATATATAAGTTAATTCGTTTTTAAGTTGTTATTTAAAAATATAAAATATATAATTTATAAGAAAATATTTAATAAGATAATTCTTATTTAATTAGTTTAAAGTAATAAAAGTTTAAATTATTAATTTTTTTAATTCTTTAAAATATAATTATTTTATTAAGATAAAATTTGATATATAAAAAATAAGAATAATAAGATAAAAGAATATGATATAATAAAACCTAATAAATATAAATTATAAATGAAATAATATTAGTTATTACTAATATTTATATAAAATATTCAGAAAAAGATAAAAAAAAATTAACTTTGTGTTCATCAAATTGGTTAAAAAAATTGAAAACAAAAATAAATTGATTGGAGAGATTAAGAAAATGTAAAAAATTAAAAGGTAAGAGAGAATAATGTAATAAACTAATTGATATAAAAGATTAAAATGGATAAAAAAATTAAAAAATAGGTAAAAAAGTAAAAATAATAAAATATAAAAAAATGATTTTATATGTAATAGAAAAAGAAATATTTTTAAAATATTAATATTTTAAAATTTAAATTTAAATATAAAATCGAAACAGGATCGTAAACAAAGTGGGGATGAAGATTGTATTACTCGTTCTCAACTTTTTAAAATGAAAAAAATTTGAACTCAATTTCGATAAACTCGATTTTTCATGGAGGAATTTAATTGTGATCCATGCCTCAACACTCTCAAAAACACCACAATTAATAATCCAAAAATTTGGAGGCTAATTAAATATAGTTTTACTGGTCAATATAATTGGCCCTTCAACTTGCATGCACTCAGCATAATTAATGTTTTTGGATACGTGTTGTTGTTAATGTTAATCTACACATTACATGTTTATTCCTATTCCAATAACTCCTTAAATGTTTAAATAATAATATTGTATGTTATCTCTACATTAAATTGTATTCTCCTTACCTTCGGGGTTCCAAATTATTTATGCCGACGGGAATTGATTAACCAACCACTACCAGACACAATTAATTATTCAAATATTTGGCACTTACGTTATGGTCCGCGCTCAATTTCGAAGGAATTTAACTAGTTTTGGGGCTAGTCTTCAACAGTGTGGCTGTGGTGAACTACACAGGCTCAATCTTGACATTGACAACTCAAACAATGAGATTAAAACACAAGGTTAATACTAGTAATGAGACATGATGAAGGTGTAGAGAAGTGCATCTAATAAGCTAGAGTTAAACAAGTATAGCATGAGAAATACTACTACAATACTAGAGAGTAGGGGCGCTCGTGTGAATTAGGAGTGGAGTGGAGCAGAAGTGGGTGAATGAATGAAGATGAGAAAAGCAAAAGGGTGGGACAAGTCACTAAATCACGCCGCTTCCAAACCAACCAGTGGTAGCTAGGGTGAGACAAGTCCTCATAAATTAAATGCTTGTTTCATCTACACGGTGCAAGCAATTAATCTACACCATTTTTCTCTGTTTTTTCTCCCGGCAAAGTGTTTAATCCCACTCAGTACTCATTCTTGGTTCTACCACTATTTTGCATGCATATGCTATATGGTAAATGATGCTATCTACTCCTACTTTGCCTCCCTTACTGAATGCCTAATATAACCTCTGTACATTAATTGCACTATTGCAATCACTCCCCACAGCCAAAGAATGTTTTGAATTCAAATTTATCATCCCATCAATGCATCCAAATATTTTCTAATCTGACTTTATCTTCTGTGTTTCACACGTACGCTTTGTTTGTTACACGCAAAGCTCAAATGAAGGGCAGTTTGCTTCAAATGAAAAACATGAAAAGTTAGAATACGGGAATGAGGGTCCAAGTTAAATTTCCGTACTTACAGAAGTTAAAAAGCAAAGAACGTTGGTTTTCCACAAGTGACATAATCAATTATCCATATAAATATTTTATTAATGTTTTTGTTAATTTGAAAAGTTATGATCACTCATTTACTGGGTGTTTTTTATTTTTCTGTTACTTTCCCTCTTTTTCTTTCTCCATTATCAAACGGGCCATAACATCGATTGAGTTGGTGTGTCTCTTCCTTTAATTAACCAGGCCCATGCTTCAGCAAAAAGAAAGCCACGAGTTTAACTAATGAAACAGAAATGTGGTGAAAGCTTATTTAGCAAGATGGGGCATTGAGACTGAGGCATAATCAATAAGGCTACGTGCCACACGTAAATCCTAGGAAGCTAGCAGGTTTTGACAAGTACCGAGTAATTATAATTTTCCCTTACTTTTTATCTTCTCTTGCTTCCCTGCATTTCGTACGACTATTTAAATTCACAAGCTTAAATCTCCATCACACTAAACTTTTGCTACTACTACTACTCAAGATATAGTCAGTTTTCTCCTTAGGTCCAACTCTTCCCCCTTTACATTAACTAGCATCTTTCTTCTCTGGTACTTGAACATGCGTGCTTCTTTCTTCAGCTTTTGCAGGTTGCTTGGAAGCAGATAGAGAGCATTTCAGAAATCAAAATGAAAGTTGGGTTAAAAAGTACCAAAGCTCGAAGCTTTTGCATGGTCTCGGTTGCCTCGCTCTTTGCCATGTTTTTAGGTAGCACCTTGACCTAGATGTCAAATATTATTTAGTCTGTGTCATTGTAACTGCAATGTCACACATGCATGCCAACCGGGTGCTACCTCGTGTTGAGGTTGAAGAAAGCAGCAGTTTGAGTTACTCACCCATTGACTTGACCAGCCAGCACATTTTGATTTCTTTTGCGTGTGTGCGTGCATTAACAAGATATTGATATGGTTCTTGTTTAATTGTCTGACTTACAGTGTACTATTTAATTGTAAAGTTTCTAGATTGATTGGAGTAGTTTTTTCATGTCAGATTAATTCCTTTTGTTTCCCGCCAATCCTTTCTCAATTTTTTTAAGTTTTCATATATGGTTAGTTGAGCCACTGATATTCTTGTTTGCAATGAAGTGAGGGATGTGGTAATTCACAGGGAAGGTGAGAGAGATGGTGGCATTGCAGAGATGTTTTTCTCCAAAGGAAACAGAACATTGATAACCTCAAGGAAGCTGCTGCAATCTTCTGGTATGAGAACCCTTTACATACTGTAGTAAAATAAAATTACAGCACTAAAATTATGTTGCATTGCAGATGAAGGGGACATGAACCATATAGGCATGGCGTGCTCAAAGGACGACATAGTGGTATATCAAGGGGAATTGCCTCCTCTTCCCAGTGGGATTCCGTCGTACACAGTTCAAATAATGAACATGTGCGCCAGTGATTGCGACATAGCAAATATACGCCTTCGTTGTGGGTGGTTCAGCTCAGCACGTTTGATAAACCCCAAAGTGTTTCGTAGAGTTGGATACGATGATTGCCTCGTCAATGATGGGAAAGCCCTTGACTCAGGAAAAACCATCTCCTTTCAGTATGCCAACACTTTTCGCTACCCTCTCTCCGTTTCATCTGTTGTTTGCTCCACATGAGCATGAGCTACCACTATACTTGTACTTGCAACTCGGAACATCCATAAAACAGACATCATTGTTTACAAGACAAGAGCCGAAGGTGTGTTACCTCGCCCATGGTTTGCTCTTTAGTTTTTTATTTTCTGTAGGAATCAGTGTTGGTACAGGAAAGCTTTTTTTTTTTTTTTACAAATGGTACAGAAAAAAGGTAGACTATTAATTGATTGACCTACTGTATTACTAGTATTTTGAAAGCACCTTTAAATCTGCCATCTCTTGCTGTCATCTTTGAATTAAATATTAAAGTGAATCAGATAATTTTGTTGCTATGGTAATGCAATTGTTTCAACTGAGTGGTCGGGTCAGAATTTTATAACATCAATTGGTTGAAACATAACAAAATCTAGAAAAATGAAACAACATTCATGAGAAAATTTTCGTTTAGCATCAACAAAATCTCTATCCCTACAGTCTAGTGATAATACGACAAAACGAAATAAATAAAAGGTGTGTATTTAGCATGAATATAATATAATATACTAATGATGAAGGTGATATAATTGGGAGGTAAGACTAAGTGGAAGTCTAGTATCCGAAATCGTAAGAAAATTCAGAGACACCAACCATGGCAGAGAGGACTTGAGAGACAATGTAGAGGGAACCCCCGAAAAGAGCAAGAATGAAAATGGCTGAAATGGGATTCTTGAGAAGGTCGGCTATAGGGCGGAAGATGGTGTAAAGTGCACCAGTGCTGACGGTGAGAGCGTAGAGCCCATATCTCCGCACGTTGTCCCAAAACTCTTCCACCAGTGGGCCTTCTGGGCCCAATGCCAAGGCCTTCTCCTCGCTCAAAACCACCGCCAAAATCCCCACACACACCGCTCCCATTATCACAACACTGGAATGCCAAATCCCCTCCTCGTGTTTCAGCAGTGGCACCCTTCGTGTATGCTCTTCACTTGCTCTGTGCTTTATGAGAGTGATTGCAAATTTTGAAGGTGAATGCTTGAAGTTTCTCCCATATGATGCTACTACCACAAATTTGATGGGTTTGACGCCTGAAGTAGGGTTTGAAGAAGAAATTGGAATGTGAAGCTGTGGTCTAAGGTTCACACTGTTCATCTTCTCACACTAACTTACCACCCTCAACTAAGTCTCTCCAATGCCATATAGCAGTAGACCTTATCCTCGTTTACTGATATTTTGATTGGATAGCTTATCTTCCCAGTGTCAGGTGTGTGGTGGGTGGCATCTTAAAAATCTAATCTTCCTATTTTACATGTCACATCCTCCCTCCCTCCTACAAGTTTTTCATCCAAATGGTGAATTTTCTTCAAACTTTTTAATTTTTATATTATAATACTAATTATTATAATTAATAATAAGATTTTATATTATTAATAAATATTATAATTAAATTATTAATATTAATATTATTATGTATTATTTATTATTAATACTAGAATAATATTAATAATAATTATTAATTATATTAATCATTTAAATATGTTAATCATTATTTATTTTATTATTAATTATATTTAAAATAATATAAATAAAATAATAATTAACTTTATTAATACTTTTTTATCAATTATAGTAATAAAAATTATTTTTATAATATTTATATAATAGTTATTATTATTACTATAATTAATTGATGTAATTTTTATTATTCTAGTAACTTATAATAAAATAAATAAAGTAACATATTATAATTATATTTTTTCTATATTAATATTATTTTATTATTAAAACTATTATTAATAATATTAATAAAAATAATATAATAATTACTAATAATAATAATAATATAAATTTAATTATTATTTATTTTATTATTAATTATTAATCATAACAATAATTATTATAATAAATTTAAAAAAATTAAACTCGTATTATAAATTTTTAATTTATCTAAAATCGTAGTTTTTAAATATTTATCTATTTTAATAAATTTTAATAAAAAAAATTGTACCGTTTTAGTTTAAAAATCTCTCGGATTATGTATATCTCAAAAATTTGGACTTTGAATTTAAGTTTAAGTTCGGATTTAAGAGTAAATTTGAAGAGGAAAAAATATATTAAAATAGAATTGTTTAGATTCAAGTAAAGATAAAAAAGATTATAAAAATAATTTTTTTTATTGATTAATTTTTTTAAATATGATAAATTGATTAATAATTAAAATATTATTATTATGATTTTTAATAAAAATAAATATAATTTATATGAAATAATTAATTAATAAAATTGATAAAAATAAATAAAATTAAAATTAAAATTATTTTGTATAAATTAAAAATATTGTTTTAATATTTTATAGTCATATTTATATTATAAATTATTTATAATAATATTAAATTATAAAATATATTTTAAAAAATATAATATGATTTTTTACATATTTTTGTATAATAAATTGAAAATATATAATATTTGATTCTGAAGAAATTTTTAATTAGACAATTTTTTTCATAATAATGATAGTTTAAATTTATATTACAATAAAATAATGAAATATGTCTTGTCTTAGAAAAATAATTAAAAAAAAATCTAAACTTTCGAATCTTCTTAACAAAGAAAAATAATCTTATGAAACGCATCTTTCTTTCTTTTCAAATTAATGTATTTCTATTGAAACAATTATTAAACGTCATTCTTTCTTTTTCAAATTTATATATTTCTATTGAAACAAACAGGTCAGCTCTACGCAATTCACGCCTTCCACTATGATAATTTGAAACAATCACAGGCAAAGCTTCCAAGTTTCTAAGTTGCTTATATTTACTGCCAATGAGATTATTTGATTATTTGAAACAAAATATAAGTAATGTTTAGGTGATAATATTTGTAAATACTATTTATTAATGTTTTTTTTTTCATTTTATTTTACAAATGTCTTTATATTATTTATTTAGGCATACTTTTTATCATTGTAATAACAAAATGTTGTAAATATTTTTTGAATGCTTTAATTTTATTTTATTTTTACAAATGATTATTATTTTTCGCTTATTTTTATTGAGCAATTATAATTTAGGACTTATGTTGATATAACATAAAACCAGCTAATATTACATCAAGATGACGTGGATAGTTACATGTTCATTTAAAAATCGTTATAGTAGTAGGGTACTGAATTTCCACTCCTTACGTAAGCATTATTTGTCCCCACCCACTAGATTTTTTTCTCCAATGTTAGCTAGAAAAGCATTATATACTGTAATTATTTAGTTAAATATAATATTTTGGAAAATAACTTTTTCTTTGTAAATATCCTATTAACAATTTTAAAATATTATTTTTTTTATTTATAGAGAAAGAATAAAATAAAATAAGTAAATAACAATATAAAAATCTAAAAATAAATTATTAAACGGATGTTTTTCTCTCTTTTTTTTTTTTTCTCAAAATATCAACACTCTTTCTTCAATTTATACTCAAGAATCTTTGTTCGATCTTCCTTATTTATGTCTATTTGAGAAAGTGGAAATCCTAGGAACCGGGAGAAGACTGGAAGATAGAATATAGAGACATCAGCTTCAAACTCAAGTCTTTCATTCATGCCATGGATTTCCAACCTTCCTTCCTGGTAATTATCTCATTCCTCTTGTTGCTGCTTTGCTTTGTAAGGATTTGCAAGAACAAAATCAGAGGGAGAAGTGTGGTTCATAAGCTTCCCCCAGGCCCACGGAAGTTTCCTCTAATAGGAAACCTTCACGAACTGGCAAGGGCAGACACGCTTCCACACCATACCCTTCGAAATCTCTCACATGAATATGGACCTCTGATGCACCTTCAACTGGGTGAAATTTCTGCTGTGATTGTGTCATCCCCTGACATGGCAAAGGAGATAATGAAGACACACGATCTTAATTTTGTGCAGAGGCCAGAACTCCTTTGTCCTAAAATCCTGGCCTATGAATCAACCGATATTGCCTTTGCTCCGTACGGTGATTACTGGAGACAGATGAGGAAAATATGTTCACTAGAGCTTCTTAGTGCCAAAAGGGTTCAGTCTTTCTCCTTCATTCGTGAAGATGAGGTGGCTAAGCTCATTCAATCCATTCAATTGTGTGCATGTGCAGGTTCACAAGTCAATGTTTCTAAATGTGTTTTTTCGTTTGTAAGCACCCTTGTTTCAAGGACAGCCTTTGGTAAAAAATCTGAGAACGAGGATGAGCTTTTGTGTTTGCTGAAGAAAGGAGCGGAACTCACGGGAGGGTTTGATCTTGCTGATTTGTTCCCCTCATTGAAAGCTCTTCATTTCATAACTGGGATGAAAGCTAAGCTGGAGGACATGCATAAAGAGCTGGACAAGATTTTAGAAAACATTATCAAAGAGCATCAAGCAAAGCGTGGCAAGGGAGAAGCAGGAGAAAATTTGGTTGATGTTCTTTTGCGCGTGCAACAAAGTGCCACCCTCGAGGCTCCAGTAACCGTCAACAACATCAAAGCCGTGATATGGGTCAGTATATCAACAAATCTATCATACAATTCTTAGTTATATGATTATTATTTTGGTAAACAAAATGGCCATGAATCCTTCTCTTTAAATCTATCCCCTCAATTCTTCATAAACAGTAAAAACAGTAAAACTACAGATACAAAGAAAGGCTAATAGTGATTATAATATGAGTGCAGGACATATTCGGGGCTGGGACAGATACTTCAGCGACAGTACTAGAGTGGGCTATGTCAGAGCTGTTGAAAAACCCAAGAGTGATGAAAAAGGCACAGATTGAAATAAGAGAAGCTTTTAGGGGAAAGAAAATTATTCGTGAGAGTGATATATATGAACTAAGCTACTTGAAGTCGGTGATCAAAGAAACCTTAAGGTTACATCCACCTGCTCCTTTGTTGCTCCCAAGAGAATGCAGGGATTCATGCAAGATAGGTGGATATGAAATACCTGTGAAGACTAAAGTGATAATAAATGCATGGGCGCTTGGAAGAGATCCCAAGCATTGGTACGATGCAGAGAAGTTTTTACCTGAAAGATTTGATGAGACAAGTTTAGATTTTAAAGGGAATAATTTTGAGTACATTCCTTTTGGGGCAGGGAGGAGAATATGTCCTGGCATTTTACTTGGCTTAGCTAATGTTGAGCTTCCTCTGGCTGCATTGCTCTATCACTTTGATTGGAAACTACCCAGTGGAATGAAACCACAAGAATTTGATATGACAGAAGCCTTTGGAGCTACAGTGGGAAGAAAAAACAACCTATATCTAATACCAACTATGTATGACTATTCCCTTAGTCAGGTCATTGCCACATGACCCTCTGAATTGTCCTCATTTCTACCGCATGTTTTTTTCATTTCCCTGTAGTCAGTCTGTGGAATTAACAAGTCGTAATGTAGAAAGCCGTGTCCTAAAAAGTTCGCCAAGATTTGTGCGAACTGATCTTAAAATGCTGATAATCAATTTAATTTCATAGCAGGGTTGTTTTCTATTGTAACTATTGGAAAAGTATCGAAGAAAAAATTATTTTTACATGATTTTTAGTGATTGTAAAAGAATTTTGGTAGAAGTATATTCAAACTGGCTAAGATATAAATGACGAGGTAAATATGAGTACGAGAACTTTTTTTAAAAGAAATGGAAATTATATCATTATGTAGAAAAAAAATGTCATTCAAGACTGAGAAAAAGTATGAATAGCATAAATAAGAATATTAACATAGAAGTGTGGCTACTTTGTTTCTTATTCATGCTTCTTTACTGCCAGAATTTAAAATAAATTCTGAAATGCTATCATCTTTACTAGTGTGGATTTGTACTAATCTTTCTGACTTTACCTTATCAAAATTGGACAATTCTAGTTGGAAGGAATAAGAAAATTAAGTGTGGAAGTAATAAAAGAAACATTCAGATTACACCTACCTCTTCCTTTTTGCTGCTTTCAAGAGAATGGATATAAGATGCATGATCAATAGATATAATTTAGGACAAAGATGGTTTCACAATCCACATTTAAACAAATACCCAATCAACAATTATTTATCTTTATTTTTAATTATACATTTATTTATTATATATTATTATCATTATTATATTAATATAAATGGGTTATCTAAAAGATGTTTAACTCGTTGGTTGTGAAATTTACCTATCAAGACTAAAGTCATAGTGGAAACATGAGGGTAATTGGGAGATATTGAAATTAAATTACATATAAATAAAAATATCTTTATCCTTGAGGGATATGTGAGTACAGAAAAACAACATGGAGAGATACATACACAATGGGTTTGGGAGAGAAAAATTCCTGAAAATCGAAAAGTTAGTTACTCAAATGAGGTATAATAATAGAAAAATAAAGTAATTTTTTTCCTATGTCAAAAATTATCTTTATAAGAATTATGATTTTTAAATCTATTAAGAGATTTGGAATTATCTCAGAAGAGGATACTGTGGCCATAAAAATATCACAGACATATTAAGTGTTCAACTTGATCACAATTTGAGATATAGAACATCAAGGAAACGGAAATAATTAAAAGTTATAAGAATAACAAATAAAGTTCAATTTCTCAGAAAACCAATTCTTGATGAAAAAATTGTTCAAAAAATTTGGTTACTCTACCAAAAAAGAGAGTAAAAAATCTCAATTTTGGAAGAAGCAAATAATCGGTCAATTTTCATAAATACTTTGTAGGCTCAAAAGCAAATAAAAATGATGAGATAAAAGGAGATTGTAAAATGTGTTTTTGATGTAAAAGCACATAATTTTAAAGGTGTCAAAATAAAAAAATATAATAAATGAAAAAAAAAGGTTTCAATGAAAAAAAAAACTAGATAGAAAACATAACATCATTTTAAATAAAAATAACTTAATATGTTAAATTTATGGATCTTTTCTATTAATTATATTTAAATTTATAATTCTATATAATGAGTGAGTTTAATTAACTCATATTTAAATTCTAACCCTCTTCTTCTTATATAATTCCATATATATAGGAATGTTTTTCTCTCAAACAGAATATTTCTTAATTACAAACAAATACATTCAAGGATCATTTTTTATTAGAGATACATATTTAATGGAGTTCCTTAATAATTCTCTCATTTATCTTAACAAATGTTTTGTGAAATAATAATCCATACTTTATACTTTGTCTTAGTTAATAAACTTCATATAATAATATCGCATCTTTTTAGCCATATTTATTGATAGATCATTATCCGATTTTCAACAACTAAAAATATATTACAATTATTTTAGGCAAGTGTTGCATGATACTTCTATATATGGACTTGAGAGGAACATAGTTTAAGTACATCCCCTGTTGGGGTAGGAAGGAGAATGTGTCCTTGCCTTTCAGTGGAACAGACTGAGAATATCCTTATAGAAATAAAAAATTGAAAATAGTACCACTATAAGAGAAAAGATTCAACCTCTGAAAAGCATAATTTATTTTTGTTACATCCGGATAAGTGAACTAATTGCAATTATAATTTATGGCTAACTTCGGTATTTCATACAATTAAATAATTCATTATCACAGTGGTTTACAAAGTTTCCACTGTTCAGGTAAGCATTATCTCTCCAATGCCACCCAGATTTGAATCTAGTATTCAGGTATCTTAGGCCGATGACTCGAAAGCATCTTATTATTATAAAATTCCCTTTTATTTATTTATTTATTTATTTGTTGTTATCGAGATGACCCGGGAAACAGGGAAGCGAAGATTGTAGAATCAAAACACCAGTTTCACTTGTGCCATGGAATTCCAACCTCCTTTCATGGTGATTGCCTTGTTCCTCTTGTTACTGTTTTGGCTAGCAAGAATTTACAAGCAGAAAATCGAAGTGAGGAGTGTGGTTCAAAAGCTTCCCCCAGGTCCATGGAAGCTTCCTCTAATAGGGAACCTTCATCAACTAGCAGGAGCAGGCACACTTCCACACCATACCCTTAAAAATCTATCACACAAATATGGACCTCTGATGCACCTTCAACTGGGTGAAATTTCTGCTGTGGTTGTGTCATCCCCTGACATGGCCAAGGAGATAATGAAGACACACGATCTTAATTTTGTGCAGCAGCCAGAACTCATTTGTCCTAAAATCCTGGCCTATGGATCAACCGATATTGCCTTTGCTCCATATGGTGATTACTGGAGACATATGAGGAAAATATGTACGATAGAGCTTCTTAGCGCCAGAAGGGTTCAATCTTTCTCCTCCATTCGGGAAGATGAGGTGGCTAAGCTCATAGGATCCATTCAAGCGTGTGCATGCGCAGGTTCACAAGTCAATGTTTCTAAAAGCTTTTCATCTTTGGTAAGCACCATTGTGTCAAGAGCAGCCTTTGGTAAAAAATCTGAGCATGAAGACCAACTTTTGTTTTTGCTAAAGCAAGGAGTGGAACTGGCGGGAGGGTTTGATCTTGTTGATTTGTTCCCTTCAATGAAACCTATTCATCTCATAACTGGGATGAAAGCTAAGTTGGAGAAGATGCATGAAGAGCTGGACAAGATTGTAGACAACATTATCATAAAGCATGCATCAAAGCATGGAAAGGGAGAAGCAGATGAGAATCTGGTTGATGTTCTTTTGCGCGTGCAACAAACTGCTACCATCGACACCCCATTAACAATCAACAACATCCAAGCCATCATATATGGGCGGGAGTAAATCTATATTATAAAATTATTAGTCATATCATTTTTTAAACAATATATATATAGGCATGAACTGTCTTGTATGATCCTGCGATTTGTATAATATACACGACCACTGATCTTATTAATAGTTCTAAATATAGTAGTATTGGCATGAAGATGTTTTGAAAATTATTGATCATGTAATATAATCACCATCACAACCGGTGAGTAACATAACACTTGAAATTGTTGAAAAATTAATAATAATTATGATTCTCGTATTGATTTTAATGATGCGAAAACGTACTTGAATTAGTCATAATGATGATGTCTTTGTAGAACACTATATTAATCTTATAGTCTTCTACCTGAAGAACACCTGTATTTCCCTCTTGATTTTCTTTCTTGATGGGGATAAAAAGAAAGGAACAAGAGTGAAACTTATGTTCTGCCTACGTGTGCTCCCAGAAGGGGATCATAACCCTTTAAATAACCAAAATTAGGTTAATTACTTAAGTTTTATTATTTCCAATTTGACCCCTCATCAAATTAGAAATTGTTCTATGGTCTCTACACAATTTTATTTTCATGACATATGCATTTAGTCAAACTTTTTAATTTAGTCAGATCACTTTATTATTTGGCTTAATAAATAATGACCCTAATTCATTTAAATTATGTATCATATATATACATGACCCAAAATTTGCCAACAATCTCCCACTGGTCACAAATATATATGTCCTTATAACCTGACAAATGTGTTAGACTTTATGAACTCAAAATTGTCATTATATTCCTTTAGCATACTCCAAAAGTCTCGTCCATTGATCATATCAGGATATAGAACCAAACCAATTTTTCATTGAATCATCGGAACTAAAATTAACAATGATTACTAATCCTGACATAACCAAATGACATGGATTCATCATGAAATGTGTAGCATGAAAATTACGTGAAGGTGATCTGTACATGTCTATTTTCAACTGATCCAAACTTTGACTTATCGAGATCGATATAATAACCTTAATGTACAAAGTGTAATGAATGAATGAAAAACTGCATATCTATAGATAACCAAATATGTCCAAAAATTCAATGTATACATACATGAAATTAACACATAGAACATAAAATATATGAAAATGACTAACTTCCACTAAACCACAAATTTCGCAAATTGTAAATCACCCATGTGAGCAACATGCTCATGAAAGACCTTGGACGGAAGTCATTTAGTTAGAGAATCTGCTATCAAGGAGTTTGTCCTTAAGTGTTCTATGGAAATTTGTCCAGTCTGTACTATTTCCTTAACAATACAGCTGATTTGTTGTCACAATATAACTTAAGTGGTCTTTCAATGCCTTTCACAATTTGCAGCCTTGTGATAAAATTTCTCAGTCATATTCCATGATTTGATGCCCCATAGCATGCTACAAATTTTGTTGCCACAGTGGATGAAGCTGTAAGGGTTTGCTTGACACTGCGCCAAGAAACCACACCACCTGCCAACATGAAAATGTAACCTGAAGTGGATTTCAAACTATCTTGACATCCTGCAAAGTCCAAGTCAGAAAACTCAGCGACCTCTCACTAGTCTGACCTCCTGTATGTGAGCATATAATCTTTTGTTCTCTTTAAATATCTCATGACCCTTTTTGCTGCTTTCCAATGGTCCATTCCTGGATTACTTAAATATTTGCCTAGAATCCCAACTATGTATGTTATGCCTGGACGTGTACATACTTGGGCATACATCAAACTCCCTACAGCTGATGCATAGAAAATCTTTTGCATTTCTTCAATTTCCAAATTCCCCTTTGGGCTTTCCAAATTTCCAAATCAACAATGTCTTGTGCAAGTTCCGAACTTACTTTATCAAAAGTAACTATTTGAATCGGTTCTGAAATTGTTACCGATTCTTCCTCCAAGATAAAGTTCTTAATCTTATTCTTCCCCCCAAACTCAATATCCTCAAAGAACGTAGCAGTTCCCATCTCAAAAATTGTCTTTAATGTGGGATCATAAAATTTATATCCCCTGGATCTTTCAGCATAACCAATAAAATAACTACTTACTGTTGGGGAGTCCAATTTCTTTTCATTTGGCTTATAAGGCATTGCCTCAACTGGACAACCCCACACATGAAAATGCTTCAGACTAGGCTGCTGCCCAGTCCAAAGCTCATAAGGTGTTTTGGTAGCTGCTTTAATTGGTACTCTATTTAAAATATAAGTTTTCATTTTTTGTGTCTCTCCCCATAGTGATTCCGGTAAGGTGGAATGACAAATCATACTCCTTATCATATCTTTAAGAGTGTAATACAAGCTCAAGCGCCACGATTCGATTGTGACCTGAGCACTTGTGTCATAATGCACCTGAGTGAGTATTTTCAATTTTACGTTTAGTACCACATGATTCTATATTAAAGGTTTCATTATAGGTGGTCACAATATCAAGTAAATACTGATTATCATAAGCCAAAAGTGAACCAGTTCCAACAATATCTGAATTAAAAGACAAACTAAACTTATTGTTTCCAAATGAACACAAATAACCTAATTTGTTCAAATAAGAAACTAAAACCAAATTTTGTCTAAATGATGGCACAACAAAAGTGTCTTTCAAATTCAAATAAAAACCAGTACTCAATAACAATTTAAAATGCCCTATAGCTTCCACCTCTACCGATTTGTCATCTCCAACATATATCCATTTTTTTTAAGAATCAATTAGTTTCCGGTAGCTTAGGCAACCCTTCATAGAAACACTGAGGTTAGTAGTTGAACCTGAGTCTAACCACCAAGTGTTACTAGGTACTGACGCTAAATTGACTTCAGAATAGACCAAAGTAGGAAACATATTTTTGAGGATTGGAACAGAATTAAAATTGGTAGATACAGAAGCAATTGTAGCTGAATTTAGAACACGAGAAATAAACTAATTATGCTCACATTATATAAAAAATAAATAATTATAAATATATCTTCAAATAATGGTTTAACCTATCTCAAGACACCCAATACACCATCAATATATGTTAGAAATGTAGGCTGAGATCAAGAGGGGGGTGAATTGATCTTTGAAAGTTTTTCGCAATTTACAGATTATCTATTTCAAAGATTAAGAGTTCTGACCAAATCTTGAATCAAATATAGCAAACAATCAAAGTAAAGGCAGTGACAGAATTAAAGAGAGAAATGTTTATAAAGATACAACCAAGATTTATACTGGTTCACCCAATCTCAGGGCCACGTCCAGTTTCCAGCCAAATTCCAATTAGGTTCCACTAGATTGAACGTTTTACAGATTACAACTTCAATCACACACTCAATCTATCACAAGAACCAAAATTTCAGTCATTGCACCTAAACCTTCACCAAGAACCAATTTCCAGTTCTTGAACAACCCTGCAATCAAATTCCAGCCACAGAAACCAGTGCCCACACTTCCAGGCACACACAATACAGAAAAGAAAAGTAAAGAAACAAAGAGAAGAAACTAGAACACCCAAACCAGGTTTATGCAACTTTGCAGAATGAGTTTCTTCTCCAAAAGAATGCAAATATTGCCTCAAGAAAGAACTTCACAAAACTAGTGTGATTCTCTCTTGAAAGTAGCACTTATGATTGCTTGATTGATTGCTAAAAGATGTCTTTTAAAATGTTTAAGCAATTATGTTTTTATAGAAGATTTTCCAAACTGCTGGTTTATTTAATCTGTTAAAATAATATTTTAATCTGTTAAAAGTCTTGTTTTAATCTGTTCAAACTTCTTTTAATCTGTTAAAATGTTCTTGATTATTTTCTAGATTTGTTTTAACTGATATGACAACGTTTATATCAATTAAAACTCTTTGTAAAAAATGTTTCAAATTGTTTTAATCGATTGTTTCGTCTTTTAATCGATTAAAATAATGCTAAAGGTTTTCATAAAACTTTCTAAGTGATTTTAACTGATAACAATCTGTTTTAATCGATTAAAATACTTTGGAAAAACTCTTCTTAGTTATTTTAATCGATTGAAACGCATTTTAATCGATTAGAATTCTTCCAAAAGATTTCATAAAACTTTCTAAGTTATTTTAACTGATAACATACATGTTTTAATCGATTAAAACCTTCTGGAAAAACCTCTTAGTTGTTTTAATCGATTATTTCGCATTTGTATCGATTAAAATACTGACAGAACAACTTTCAAAACACTTCAAGTTATTTTAATTGATTATTTCGAGTTTGTATCAATTAAAATTCTGCCAGAATACTTTTCAAAATATTCTAAGTCATTTTAATCGATTGTATCAGTTATATATTAGTTAAAATACTGCGTGAAGGTTTTCAAAATTCCTTCTAATGAAAACAATAGATTATTTCGAAAACATATCACTTAAAAACCTGTTACAAAAATGTTAAGAACATTTTAGTTGATAAAGCTTCATATACTATTAGTTAAAATAGTCATTTAAAAAACCTTTTAACAAAATACTTTGTTTTAACAGTTTAAACATATTTTAGAGGCATTTGCAAAATCTTTTAAATGAAGAAACCTCATGCAGCAGAGAGATAAAAATGATTATACCTAAGTAAAGATGCAGACTCACTAATCACACTACCCTTTTATCTAAGTGATCTTTGACTGCAACATAGTAGTCTTTAGCCTTTGACTTCATTTTGTCTTCATCAAATCAACAAGATCTTTGCTTAAGTAATTCAATAAGATCTTCACACTTTCAATATCAAGTCTTTGGACAATAATATTAACTGCTAGAGGTATCTTGTTGTAATAATCAAACATTGATAATAAAATATGTCCAACAATAAACCAGTCTTTGGATTGATTTATCATCAACAAAACAAATCATTATAATTATCACATGTTTATCATTACAAGTGTGTATGCAATTCGACCAAATATTAATCTTCCTTTGGACTGACTAATACTCGCATGAATATACACAAACACTAACATTCAATATTTTTCATGAACTTGTCCAATTCAAGAGAAGTTATTTTGGTGACTTCTTAACTCAATTTGCTCACAAAAAATATTAAACTACCAAAAAATTGAATATTTTATTTATATAGCAAAACCAAATATTTAATATTTCCAAACTAATTCAAAAGATAATCACCTCATTAGAATTCTACTAAGGATGAACACCTCCCTAAAATCTCATTAGGAATCACTACAACAAAAACATCAAATAGTGACTGAATTTTCGATCACTAACTAAAATAGTAACCGATTGAGTCAGTCACTATATCGGTCACTAACAAAAACATTAAAAAATTAAAAATGTTTTTTTATAACCCCTTTCTATTTTATCTAATTATAATAGTCTCTAACCTCCATTTTATATTCTTTTATAATATATTATTATTATTTATTATATTTCTTAGAAATTTGATTTATTATTAGATTGAAAGAATTATTACTTGGCAGGATTCGAACCCAGTACCTTAGAGTTAAAGATTGATACTCTAACTACTAAGCTACTAGGAATTTTTTTATAATAATTTATAAATAAATTATATTTATATACAAATAAAAATATATATCCGTGTAAATATATATATATATATATATATATATATATATATATATAATATATAAATATAAATATATATATATATATATATGTTGGATGCGAGGGCGCGTTCGAGGGTGAAAGTGTGTGTCGAGTGGATTTTTAAAATTTGATATCAAATTTGTGAGCGGGTCTCTTTATATGAGTTCATAATTTAATGACACAATATAATCTTTATAATTTATTTATATAATGATATAAAATAATTTTTTTCTTTATTTATTTTTATTTTATTTTAATTTATTCTTCTTATATTTTTTCTTCTATTATTTAATTAAAATTCTTATCATGAAATAATTTTTTCAATATTAAAAATAATTAAATATTTATTTTTAAAATTATTTAATTTAACAAATTATTATAAATTAATCTAATTATGATTATTAATAGAACAATTTTTTCCTAACATATATTATTATAAATTAATCAAAATCATCTTTTAATAATTATTTTTTCCAGACATAGATTAATTCATAATAATTTGTTAAATTAAATAATTTTAAAAAATAATTTTGAAAATAAATATTTAATTATTTTTAATAATGAAAAAATTATTTTAATTAAATAATAGAAGAAAAAAAAGATAAAAAGAATAAATTAAAATAAAATAAAAATAAATAAAGAAAACAATTATTTTATATCATTATATAAATAAATTATAAAGATTATATTCTATCATTAAATTACAAATCCATATAAAGAGACTCGCTCACAAATTTGACATCAAATTTTGAAAACTCACTCGACACACACTTTCACCATCTAGCGTGATCCTCACATCGAACACATAAATATATAAATATATCAAAATATATAAATATATTTGTATTTATATATTTTATATTTATATATTTACACGAATATACATTTATTTGTATATAAATATAATTTATTTGTAAATTTTTATTAAAAAATTCTAACAGTTTAGTGGTTGGAGTATTAGTATCTAACTCTAAGGTAGTGGTTTTGAATCTTATTAGTAATAATTTTCTTAATCTGATAAAAAAAATATTAATAAGAGAAATTATATATTTTTGTGGAAATTAGAGCCACTAAATTGTTGTTATGGACTAAAACCCAAAAAGTTAAAAATAAAAAATATAATTAAATAAAAGAAAAACTATATACTTTTGCATTTTTATTTTCAAATATTAGTTTTTTTATGAAATTATTTTTTATTAAAATAATTAAAGTGATATATATATATATATATATATATATATATATATAATTTTTTTATTTTAATTTATTAATATTATCAAATTTTAGCTTCATGATTAAAAAAATACCAATAATTTAAATTTTATTAATTATTATTATAAATTTAATTATCCAATAACTAATAATATTAACACATTTATTAAATTAAAATTCTTTATTTTAATTAATTATTTTAATTTTTTAACAATTTTTTTAAATAAAAACGATAAAACTTAAAATTAATTTCTGACTAAATCTTCACATATTTACGGTTAATAGTATATTATATTATTATGTTTAATTAAATTTTAAAATAAGTTCACTTAATCTTTACACTTTTATAAAAATACTAATATAAACTTAAAATATTTATCCAATTACTAAATTATTTAAAATATTAATATAAATTTAAAATATCAATTCAATAATTAAAATAATTTTAATTTTTTTATAAATACATTGAAATACATTTTTATCAACATAAAAATAATATATATATATATATATATATATATATATATATATATCAAAAAGAGACTAAATTAATAATTAATTTAATCATTGATTATATATATAAAAGAGACTAAATTAATAATTACTTTAATGATCGAATCGGTGACTAATTTAATAATTAATTTTAATTTTTTTATTCACATACTAAATTAAAAAATAAAATCAAATAATTATATTATTAAATTATTTAATAAGTTAATAAACTATTTTTTAAATTTTTTATAATGTTATTAAAAATTTATTAATTATTTTAAATTATTAAGTAGATTTATATTTAATATATTATTAAAATATTTTTAAAAGATATTTATATAAATAAAAAATGGTCACTAATTTATATATTATTTGTTTAGTGATCTGAAATTTTAGTCACTAAATCAGTCACTATATCGATGGCTGATTTGGTGACCGAATCAGTGACCGATTTTCGTGACTAAAATTTAAGTCACTAAATTAGTCACTAAATATAAAACGGAAATCAGTCACTGATTCAGTTACTATCAATGACTGAATTTTTCGGTCACTATTAACCATTTTTCTAGTAGTGGATGAACACCTCCTTTGAACAAATCAAAGGATGAAAAGCACCTCATTTTCTACCAATACATAAAGGATGAACATCTCCCTAAAATCACACTAGGGATGAAATAGAGATAGTTATAACTCTCTTTAACACACTGCTCTAAACCCTAAAAGGGGATTAAACAGTAATCACTCAAATCCTAAACAGGAAATTTAATATCAACTTCCCTTAAATCCCCAGAGGATAAAGACAAAAAAATAATAACAGCCACACTTGTGGAAAAGATCCTCTATGTTGGGAACTCCCCAAACACCACCCCCAATTCCAAACCCATCCATATCCACCATGAAAAGAAAACGAAAACAGAACCCATAAAATTAAATAAAAACAAAAAAAAAGATTCAAAGAGAACAATGAACCCAATACAAGAAAGATTGAAATTTGAAACATTATTTCTTTCTCAGTAAAACTTGAAACTTAAATCGAAACAAAAGGAAAAAACAAAGAAGAAAAAGAATTCATAGTTTCCTCCACGGTTCCATCAGCAAGCAGAATCAGATTGGGGATGTTACCCCCAAATTTTTGGGTTCACGAAAAAATGGATAATTTGAATTGTTTAAAACAAAATTAATCCTAATTTTCATAATTAGGGTTCTATAAATTAAACATACATGAATCAAGTATGGACGGTTCTGATACCAATTGTTGGAAAATTAATAATAATTATGATCCTGATATTGATTCTAACGATCAAACATAAACGCAATCTCATACTGATAAACATGCTATAAACTGAATGCGAAAGTGTACCTGAATTAGCCATAATGATGATGTCTTTGTAGAGCACTATATTGATCTTATAGTCTTCTACCTGAAGAGCACCTGTATTTCCCTCTTGATTTTCTCTCTTTATAGGGATAGAAAGAAAGGAACGGGAGTAAAACTTATGTTCTGTCTATGTGTGCTCCCAGAAGGGGACCATGACCCTTTAAATAACCAGAATTAGGTTAATTACTTAAGTTTTAGTATTTCCAATTTGGCCCCTCATTAAATTAGAAATTGCTCTATGATCTCTACACAATTTTATTTTCATGACATATTCCTTTAGCAAAACTTTTTAATTTAATCAGATTACTTTATTATTTGGCTTAATAAATAATAGTCCTAACACATTTAAATTATGTATCATATATATACATGATTCAAAATTTGCCAACAACCTCACCTAAAAAAAACTTACATATGAATAACTTGCTAATAGAAAATGAAAAAAAGTAATCATTTTGGTCACATCATGCCATGACACATTGCAGATCTTGATATATAGTGTGACATGTGTTCCATATAAATTTTACTTAAACGAAATAAGTTTTAACTTAACAATTTCCTATTTATTATTTAATTAATAATTCTAGAATTATGAGTGGTTAATAGGTGTGATGACATGTGTGCAGGACATATTCGGGGCTAAGGCTGGGACTGATACCTCAGCAACAGTACTAGAGTGGGGTATGTCAGAGTTGTTGAAAAACCCAAGAGTGATGAAAAAGGTACAGGCTGAAATAAGAGAAGCTTTGAAGGGAAAGAAAACAATTCGTGAGAGTGATGTGCATGAACTAAGCTACTTGAAGTTAGTGATCAAAAAGACATTGAGGTTACATCCACCTGCTCATTGTTGATGCCAAGAGAATGCAGGGAAGCATGCATGATAGGTGGACATGAAATACCTTTGAAGACTAAAGTGATAACATATGCATGGGCCCTTGGAAGAGATCCAAAGCATTGGTATGATGCAGAGAAGTTTATACTTGAGAGGTTTGATGGCACATATTTTGATTTTAAAGGGAATAATTTTGAGTATATTCCTTTTGGGGAAGGGAGGAGAATGTGCCCAGGCCTTTTACTTGGCTTGGCTAATGTTGAACTTCCCCTGGTTGTCTTCCTCTTTCACATTGACGAGGAACTCCCCAATGGAATGAAACCGGAGAACTTCGATATGACTAAAATCTTTGGAGCTACAGTGGCATGGAAAAACTATTGTAAAACTTAAATTAGACGTTTAGTATTCCTAGAATAATATTAATGGTTTTAATTATGAATGGTATAATCAAAGGGTTGTAAACCTATTTAATAGGTATTATGATTTACGTTTGGCATTTAAAGAGACAAATATTTTGGCCATAAATAATTGTAACAACTCATTTGAAATTGCATCAGGAGAAAATTGAGAGCGTTGTTTTGTTTTCCTATTACCAACAAATTGACATCAGAGCTTGTGTGTGAGGTGAGTGTGAGAGAGCCCACCAAGCCTCAAGAGAGAACACCGCAGTGTGTGCTGACTGAGAAAGAGAGAGGAGTGACTCAGAACTTTGTGAGGTGTGTGAGTTGAGTACAAACACTTGAGAGGAAATGACAGGTCTAACCAATGACATCCCGCTACCCAAGTTGACGAAAGACACCAACTATGACAACTGGAAAGTACAAATGAAGGCTCTTCTCGGCTCCCAAGATAACTAGGATGTGGTCGAGAATGGGTATGAGGAATCGACGAACACAGATGGGTATTTAAATGTTCAGCTGAACGCATTGAAGGTCATTCGAGCTAAAGACAAGGCGGCTCTGTATCTATTATACCGAACCATCGACAAATCTGGCTTTGAGAAGATAGCTAATGCAAAAATCTTCCATAGTAGCATGGGATACACTTGAGAAAGCAAACAAAAGAGATGAAAGGGTGAAACAAGTTCAACTTCAAACCCTTAGGGGCGAGCTTGAAAACATGAGGATGAAAGATCCAGAAAGCGTATCCGAGTTCATTACTCGGATGGAGAGTGTGGTGAACAAGCTGAATCAGAATGGTGAGAATCTTTCATCAAATCGAGTTGTTGAAAAAATTTTGAGATCATTGATAGATGATTTCGAGAACATCGTGTGCGCAATAGAGGAGTCTAAGGATCTGTCAACGCTCACCCTTGAAGAGCTTGTTGGGTCCCTAGAAGCGCATGAGCATAGAAGGAAAAACAAGAAGGGGTAGTCCCTTGAACAGGCTCTCCAGGTAAAGGCAACAATAAAAGAGGAGAATGTGTTCTATGCTCAGAGTACCAGAGGCCGAGGAAAAGGCAGAGGTCATGGTGGTAGAGGAAAAGGAGGACGAGGAAATGAGCAAGACGGTCAACAGAACTGGCGTGGCCAAGGACAGGCTCGGGGTGGTCAGACAAACACAAACAATATTGAATGCTATAATTGTGGAAAGAATGGGCATATTGCCAAGGATTGTTACTCGGTAAAATGCTATAATTGTGGAAAGAATGGGCATGTTGTCAATGACTGTTACTCCGTAAAATGCTATAATTGTGGAAAACTGGGTCATATTTCCAAAGATTGTAGGTTTGAGAAGAAACAGGAGGAACCAACAAACTTTCTTGCTAAGGAAGAAGATGAAGGATTGTTAATGGTGACAAACACTTCAGAAACTGAGATCAAACTGAACTGTTCTAATAACTCGGTTTGGTACTTAGACACCGGCGCTAGTAACCACATGTGTGGTGATGAGTGCTTATTCAAAATACCTTCAAAGGTGGAGCCCGGATTTGTTTCTTTCGGTGATGCTTCGAAAGTGCTGTCAAAGGTCAAGGAACGATATGGTATTAACAGAGAAATGGGCAAATCGGAGAGATCAGAGATGTATACTACGTACCTAATCTCAAAAACAACATATTGAGCATGGGACAGTTAATGGAGAAGGGGTACTCGATTCTGATGAAGGACCGAGAACTACAACTAAAGGATAAATTAGGGAGACTTGTTGCTTTGGTGGGAATGAAGAAAAGTCACATGTACAAACTTGAGCTGAAAACAGTTCAAGATAAATGTATGCAATTTGATATGGAGGATGAGGCCATGAAGTGCATTTGCAGTTTGGTCATCTTCACTTTAGTGGGTTGACTGCGCTGGTGAAAAAGGAGATGGTGCTCGGATTGCCTAAAATGGAATTCGAAAAAAGGTTATGTGAAAAATGTGTGATTGGGAAGCAAGCGAGGACTTCTTTCCCAAGAAGTTCTGAGTGTCGAGCAAAGCAGCAACTCGGAGTGATCCATAATGATTTGTGTGGACCAATAACTCCAAAATCTTTTAGTTGTAAGAGATATTTCGTCTCTTTAATTGATGATTTTTCAAGGAAAACATGGGTTTATTTTCTGAAGGAAAAGTCAGAAGTGTTTGAAACTTTCAATAAATCCAAAGTTATGGTGGAGAAAGAAACAAGCAAAGTCATCAAAGCAATCTGATCTGACAGGGGAGGTGAGTTCACTTCTACTGAGTTCAACAAGTACTGTGAGGAACATGGGATCAAACGTTTCCTGACTGCACCATATTCTCCGCAGCAAAATAGTATAGCGGAACAAAAGAACTGAACCATTCTTGATATGGTTCGATCTATGTTGAAAGGGAAGAATATGCCAAAGAAGTTTTGAGCAGAGGCGGTGCAGTGCGCAGTCTATTTGCAAAATAGATGTCCACATGCAAGGCTAGGAGAGAAGACGCCTCAGGAGATATGGAGTGGTATGAAGTCGAGTGTCTCTCATCTGAAGGTGTTTGGTAGCGTGGCCTATGGACAAGTATCAAGTCAACATAGGACTAAATTAGAAGATCGGAGTAAGAAGTACATATTTATTGGGTATGATGGAAAATCTAAAGTGTATAAATTGGTTGATCCTGTTAATCATAAAGTGGTGATAAGCCGAGATGTTCATGTGGAAGAAACAAAACATTGGTGTTGGAGTAACCTGGCAGAAGAAGAAACTAGTTCAGAAATTGTTATGTCTTCAACAATAACAACCATTGAGTCCTCAGATAAAGAAATAGAGTCACAATAACCCAAGATGAGAAGTCTGCAGGAAATATAAGACACTACAAATGAAGTTCATGTTGTATGTCTTTTGGCTGACTCTGAAGACTTGAGTTTTGAGAAAGTTGTCCAAGATGAGAAGTGGAGAACAACCATGGATGAGGAGATTAGAGCGATTGAACGTAATAAAACTTGGGAACCGACTGACCTTCCTAAAGGAGCTCAACCCATTGGAGTAAAATGGGTGTACAAAAAGAAGATGAATGTTGAGGGAGAGGTAAAACGTTACAAGGCTCGACTTGTGGTGAAGGGCTATAGACAAAAGGAGGGAATTGACTATGATGAAGTATTTGCTCCTGTCACGAGAATGGAGTCAATCCGACTTTTGATCTCATTAGCTGCTCAGAATCAATGGCCGATTCTACAAATGGATATGAAGTCGGCATTTCTAAATGGAGTACTGAAGAAAGAGGTGTATGTTGAGCAATCACTCGGGTACATGAAGAGAGGGGATGAGAAAAAAGGTATTAAGATTTAGAAAAGCTCTCTATGGGCTGAAGCAGGCTCCTTGTGCCTGGAATGAGAGAATTGATGGGTATTTCAAGAAAAATAGGTATGAACAATGTTCATATGAGCATGCTTTGTACACAAAGAAATCAGAAAAAGATATGATGGTAGTCGCTTTTTATGTCGACGATCTCATATTCACTGGAAGCAACACGAATCTAATTAAGGAGTTCAAGGAGGTAATGAAGAAAGAGTTTGAAATGATAGACTTAGGGCTGATGAAATATTTTCTTGGCCTAGAAGTGAAGCAATCAGAGGAAGGAATTTGTATATCCCAAGAGAGGTACACACTTGAAATTTTAAAGAAATTTAAAATGGAGGACTGTAACCCGGTTTCTACTCCAATGGAACCGGACACTAAACTTTCAAAGTTTGATGGAGGAGAACGAGCTGATTTTGGGAGATATCGAAGCTTAATCGTAAGTCTGAGATACCTTACAAGCACAAGACCCGACCTAATGCTGATTATTGGGATAACGAGCAGATACATGGAGAATCCAAGTTACACACATTGGAAGGCCTTAAAGAGAATTCTGATATATGTTCGAGGAACCTTATCACTTGGTCTATTCTATTCAAAATCGGATGACTACTGACTAGTGGGTTACTCAGATAGTGATTGGTGTGGTGATGTTGATGACCAGAAAAGTAATTCAGGTTATGTGTTCCTATTCGTAAAAATAACTTTTACTTGGCTGTCAAATAAGCAATCCATTGTAATTTTGTCAACTTGTGAGGTTGAGTATGTGGCGGCCTCTTGGAGTGTGTGTCATGCAGTTTGACTTTCAACTTTACTAAGGCATCTGGAAGTGATCCAAGACAAAAGGATTATAATTCGAGTTGACAATAAGTCAACGATCGAGTTGGCAAAGAACCCGGTTAATCATGGAAGGAGCAAGCACATCGACGTCCGATTTCATTTCATCCGAGAACAAGTCAAAGAAGGAAAGGTTGAGCTGGAGCATGTTGAAAGCCGAGCTCAAGCTGCTGACATATTCACCAAACCACTGTCAACTCCACTGCTAGAGAGTTGTAAAAGGCTTATTGGAATAAGAGATGGGAAGAGTATTTAAGTTTAAGGGAGAGATTTATTGTAAAACTTAAATTAGACGTTTAGTATTCCTAGAATAATATTAATGGTTTTAATTACGAGTGGTATAATCAATGGGTTGTAAACCTATTTAATAGGTATTATGATTTACGTTTGGCATTTGAAGAGATAAATATTTTGGCCATAAATAATTGTAACAACTCATTTGAAATTGTATCAGGAGAAAATTGAGAGCGTTGTTTTGTTTTCCTGTTACCAACAAAAACAACCTATTTTTGCTATCAACTCCATATGTCATTGCCAATTCTCCCTCCCTCCCTTAATTCTGCTCATTCTTTCTTCTAATACTTTATATTCTTAAATGTGTACTTTGCACTAGATTTTATTATCTTTTCAAAAAAAATGTAAAAATAAATTAGATTATTATTTTGATTTAAGTAATTATAATTGAAATATTATTATGATTTGATATTTTATTATATTTTTACTTTATATATAAATAGAGTAAATAAATAAAATATATATTCATATGAGATATATTTTACATATCGAAATACACATGCACAAAGCTCTAAAAATTCTTATAAGTGGTAACATCGTTTTGGTTCTTAAGAGAAAATAGAAGAAGAATTTTTTTTTCACAAATCGTTATTCCAATTTTTGATAATGAAAGTTGTGACTTATGGGATGTGAGAATACAATCATATCTTAAAGGATTTAATATATGAGAAGTTGTGGAAGAATATTACATCATTGACTCGCTGCCTGAAAATTTCACCATAGCTCAAATCAAATTTTACAAAGAAAGAAAAACAAAGAAGACAAAAACTAAATCATATATGTTTGTTTGTGTTTCACAAATGATCTTCATCATAATCATGACGCTAAAGTTATCCAAAGAATTTTGGTATTATTTTAAAAACCAATATGAAGGGGACGAAAAAATTTGAGGTATGAAAATTCTAAATTTGATAAGAGAATTTCATATATAAAGGATGCAAGAGTTTGAAACAATTAATGAATTATTAAATAAATTGTTGGATATTTCTAACAAGATAAAATTATTAGGTAAGATATGAACACCTATTGCCTCATTGAAAAATATAAAAGATTTGTTTAATATTACTTTGACAAAAGTGTTACATGTTTTACAAGCGCAATATCAAGGAAGATTGATGAGAGGAGATCATGTTGTTGTTGAAGGTTTTTACTATATCATGGTGAATGTTCTCTACAAGCCAAGAACAACAAAGGTACCAAATCATGTGTCTTTTCTGTCTATCATTATTGCAAAAAAAAATAATCATCCACATAACAAGTGTTGGTAGAAACCTGATGTGAAATGTCATAAATGTGGTTAGTTGGTACATATAAAAAAAATATGTAAATCATAACAAAAAGAAGTTGTCGAGGTTATAGAGGATGGAGTAGAAGGGGAATTTCTCTTTGTGTCAACATGTTCTACAATCAACAAATCCACAAGTTGACTTATAGACAGTGATTGTACAAATCATAAGACTTATGATCAAGAACTTTTCAAAGTTATAAAGGATGGGGTATATGAAGGGGACGAGAAAATTTGAGGTATAAAATTTCTAAACTTGATAAGAGAATTTCAGATATAAAGGATGCAAGAGTTTGAAACAATTAATGAATTATTAAATAAATTGTTGAATATTGCTAACAAGATAAAATTATTAGGTAAGATATGAACACCTATTGCCTCATTGAAAAATACAAAGGATTTGTTTAATATTACTTTGACAGAAGTGTTACATGTTTTACAAGCGCAATAGCAAGGAAGATTGATGAGAGGAGATCATGTTGTTGTTGAAGGTTTTTACTATATCATGGTGAATGTTCTCTACAAGCCAAGAACAACAAAGGTACCAAATCATGTGTCTTTTCTGTCTATCATTATTGCAAAAAAAAATAATCATCCACATAACAAGTGTTGGTAGAAACCTGATGTGAAATGTCATAAATGTGGTTAGTTGGTACATATAAAAAAATATGTAAATCATAACAAAAAGAAGTTGTCGAGGTTATAGAGGATGGAGTAGAAGGGGAATTTCTCTTTGTGTCAACATATTTTACAATCAACAAATCCACAAGTTGACTTATAGACAGTGATTGTACAAATCATAAGACTTATGATCGAGAACTTTTCAAAGTTATAGAGGATGGAGTATAAGGGAAACTTCTCCTTGGATCAACATGTTCTACAATCAACAAATTCATAAGTTGGCTTATAAACAGGTGATTGTACAAATCACATAGTTTATGATCGAAAACTTTTCAAAGAGCTCAAAAAATTTGTTATTTGTAAAATGAGAATTTATAATGAAAAACAAATTGATATGAAAAATACGAGAACAATTACGCTTAAAAATCATCCAGGATATCAAATTAATTTTTGATGTTTTATATATTCTTAATATTAATTATAATTTATTAAGTATTACTTAGAGAAATGTTATAATAAATATATACTCATATAAGATATATAAGATATATTTATTAAGTGTTCCTAATATTATAATTTGATATTTTATCATATTTTTATTTTATATATAGATAAAATACATAAATAAAATATATACTCATATTTCACATATAAAAATATAAGTATGCAAAACTTTAAAAATTTCAATCAACTCAAAAATATCAAATAAATTAAAACCCGTGTTGACATATATTTATTTCCTGTTTCTGAATTCTCTGTTTATAAAAGATGGCCCCATGAAATTGAGACTTGATTTAACATTTTGTAGGAGTTCTGAATGCAACCAAAGCCACGTTAAAAATAATAACAAAACAACTTGAGTCATGCCTTAAAATTGTAAAAAGAAATAACGATTTAAGCATACAACAAAATATTATACTGCAGATTATTAATTTAGTTTTATGTCATTAAGATGAACAATAGAAATTGATTAATTCATTTATTTTCTATCAAAACTTCAGCATAAAGGTAACTACACAAAGAAAACATAAAAGTTTTTTACCATTTATTGATTTGAAAAGAGCATTAAGAATAGTTTTATAAAAGGATTAAACAAATGTTTACACAATTTCTACAATTGTAGTAGACCAATTTTCGCAAATTTCATTACATTAAAAGATGATATTGATATTAATATTTTACAATAGATATTTTTAGAATGGTCAAACCTGGTTATCTAACTCAATTTTATTTGTCAAAACGGATAATTTAGCTCAATTTTATTTGTAAATAAAAAAATTAATAATTCAACCTAATTTATATTTTAAAACTAATAAAAAGTTTATCCTAATTTGATCCAGGCACTAATGATTGATTTTAGTCTTTGATTCTTTTTAGATATTAATATATCTATACAAAATTAATTAAATAATTTTTTTAAAATAAAAATATATTTTAAAAGTTTAAATTTTATTAATAAAATTATTTTTTTTAAGATATAAAGATTTAATGTATAAATTATAAGATAATGTAATCTTTCAATCTTAAAAATTAAAAATTTATTTATTTATTATTATTATTATTATTATTTATTTTTAATAATTTATTGATATTAAATAATAATTAATCTTAATTATTATATTTTAAAATAAATAATTATTAAAAATTTATTTAAATATTTTTAAGTGAATTACTATTTTTACACCCTGCATAATTTAAAAATTTATTAAAAATATATATATATATATATATATATAATAAATTAATATTACTTTATTTTTATTTAAAAGATAATTATTATTCTAAAAATAAAATTATTATTTTATAAAATACTTGGCCTCATCGTCTAATAGTACTTAACCTAAAGTGCAAGATTCATCTCTTTTTACACCCTGCATAATTTCCCATAAAGAAACTATATCTAAAAAATATCTTACTACATTTTTGCTTTACAATTATCTCATCACATTTTGAAAGAAAAACCATCTGTTGATTATTTCCGTTGGACATATCACATCATTGATAACATGCACGTAAATCAGTGATGTAGACACGTCTCAAAAATTTTAGACATCAAAATATTAAAATAAATAGATATATATATATTTTAATAGAAAAAAAAATCAAATCACTTTAAAAAAGTGTCCTTGTTTTTATCATTATTTTTCTTTTAATTTGACATGACTTATTAAATTTATCAGATTAAAAAAAAGTAACTATTTTAAAAATGTATATGAGCTAACTTGATTCATTCTCTCTTTAAATATATAATAAAACATTGTGTTATTTTGATTTGTAAAATATCTTCTAAGTAATTTATCAAATACATCAGTATGAGTTCAATTGAGTATAAGAGATGATTAATGTAACAAAAAAAAATAACAAGTTTTATTGCGAAAACAATGAAAGGATTTTTTTCAAGAGTAGGTTATATATAACATGAAAAAAAAATAGTTTGACAATTTTATTTTAACAAACAGCTCTCTAATCTCTATTTAATAATGTAATATTAATTTTAAATTGTTTTATTTTGATCGATTTTTTTACGATTATAATAATAATAATAATAATAATAATAAATTGAATTGTTGTGAATGTTTTTCTTTGGTTATCTTTGTATTATCTCCCGTATAATATATTATTAAAAAAATCTCACGGGGATTCTTTTCAAAATCATGTACACATATATATTAGAAAGAAAATGTCAATCCAAATCTCAAACAATTGGATTCCCTTCTCACCATGGAAGTCCAATCGTCCTTGGCAGTGCTCACCCTCTTGCTCTCATTATTAGTGCTTTTGCTTGCAAAGAACTTCAAGCAAAAGGGTCACCATAAACTGCCACCAGGGCCATGGAAGCTACCTATCATAGGGAACCTGCATCAACTGGCAGTAGCAAGTTCACTTCCTCATCATGCTCTCAGAGACATAGCCCAAAAATATGGACCCTTGATGCACCTACAACTAGGTGAGATTTCTGCGGTGATTGTATCAAGCCCCAAGATGGCCACGGAAATAATGAAAACACATGATCTTGCTTTTGCACAGAGGCCTAAATTTCTTGTTTCTGATATTATGGCCTACGGATCAGTAGACATTGCTTTTGCTCCATATGGTGATTACTGGAGGCAAATGAAGAAAATATGTATGTTGGAGCTTCTAAGTGCAAAGAAGGTTCAGTCTTTCTCCCACAATAGACAGGAAGAGGTAGCTAAACTCATAGGAAAAATCCAGTCATCAGCAGGTGCACCAGTCGATCTCACAACCATGATTAACACTTACGTAAGTACTTTTGTGTCCATAACAGTATTTGGTAACATAACTGAAGATCGTGAAGAGTTTTTGTCGATTGTAAAGGAAGCAATAGAAGTGGCAGATGGCTTTGATCTTGCGGATATGTTTCCCTATTTCAAACCTATACATCTCATAACCAGATTGAAAGCCAAATTAGTTAGGATGCATAAGAAGGTTGACAAGATCTTCGGGAAGATCATAAAGGATAATCAAGTAAAGCTTACTAGAGCAAAGGAAGGCAAGGAAGAAGAACAGAACGAAAATCTTGTTGAAGTTCTTTTAAGAGTCCAACACAGTGGCATCACTGAGACCCCTCTTACAACCGACAATATCAAAGCTGTTATTTGGGTAAGTATCTATCTAACTATCTATAAAGCACGATGCTTTAATTTATTTCACGTATCACGTCGATACTTTATGGATATTTTACTTATACATATGGAATTATTAATACTTTTATTTGTTTTATAAATAATATTTTTAAATAATTTATTGATGTATATATTAATTAAATATCAAACTTTCTGATTCTTTCTCGACGACTTTTGCTCAAACTTAGATTTTGAAACATTTTAATCCTTGTTATAACATGAGTATGTTGAAGCTTATGCAGGACATGTTTGCTGCTGGAACGGATACTTCGGCAAAAGTAATAGAGTGGGCAATGTCAGAAATGATGAAAAACCCGAGAGTTAGGAAGAAGGCACAAGCTGAGATTAGAGAAACGTTGAGAGGAAAGGAAACAACACATGAGAACAACCTAGGCCAACTTACCTACTTAAAGGCAGTAATAAGAGAAACCTTGAGGTTACACCCACCTCTTCCTTTGTTACTTCCCAGAGAAAGCAGAGAATCGTGCAGGATCGATGGATACGATATACCCATCAAGACTAAAGTCATAGTGAACGCATGGGCAGTTGGAAGAGATCCTGAGTACTGGCATGATGCTGAGAGCTTCATACCAGAAAGGTTCCATGCTACATCTATCGATTTCAAAGGAACAGACTTTGAGTACATCCCTTTTGGGGCAGGAAGGAGAATGTGTCCGGGTATGTCATTCGGTATAGCCAGCGTCGAGTTTGCTCTTGCCAAATTACTCTATCACTTTAACTGGGAACTCCCAGAAGGAATGAAACCAGAGGAATTTGACATGGATGAAGCATTTGGAGCAGGGGTTGGAAGGAAAAACAACCTTCACTTGATTCCCGTTCCTTATGATCATCCTTCAATCCATGATAATGGCAAATGAGGCACCCTCGTTTTTTGTGTTTCTTCAAATCTGTGTAGAATAATATATGAAGTGATGTAAAATGCACTAACACTGTCAATGCCTTTCACTTAGTGTGAGCACTTGTTTTATCATCGTACCTTTAAGACTATCATGAATTATTTAATGTAATCACCCTGTTCCTGAACGTAGTAGAAATGGTTTTCGGCTTTGAAATCACAACTGAAATTTGAGTTTGACCATGGATTACCCTTGCTTCGAAATCTGGAAATCTAGATTGACCTTCCGTTTGGCAAGATCATGACAAAGTTTGCTTGCACCGACTTGTTTTCAATTAAAATATTTTTGGGTGGGGATTTGGGAATTGAGGTGGCATAAGCTTTTACCAAGTAAATATTTGCACCCCTGCTCAAGGAAATTCAAAACTGAAGACATAAAGAAGTTTAAAATTTCACAAATCAATTCTGATCGTTAAAGGAATCTTGTTAATATAATAGCTTTGGTATCTTAGCCAAAAAAGAAGTCGGGTTATGTACTCATCGATCCATGTTCATCTTCATTGTGTGATTGGTTTTAATTTCCAAGTATACCCTGGAATGGATTTCAGCTCTTTCAGTAGTAGTAATCAAGAAATTTAGAGAGATTATCTTAATATTGACGTGTGAGTTTGATTTTACTACGGCTAAAAACATGAAAAATCAATAATACATAGGTGTATTATCATGAAAGGACTCTGATCTCATTCATAAATATTCATTAAACAAATTTATTATGTTTGTCTAAATAAATTATAATTAAAATTAAATTATATATTTGGTTTATTTGCATATTTGATTGGATTACTTTATTAACAATATTAAATTAAAAAAAAAGTAAAAATATAATATTTTATTTAATTAAGAGTTAATAAATAAATACTTATTATTAACTAAAGAATTGGACACAAATTGTTAAAAGTGGTTAATGTGTTACAAGGTTAAATTTTTTCGATATTATGTAAGTTTTATTTTTATTTTTATGTTTCAGAAACAATTATTATTTCTTTTTAGATATAACTTACCACGGAGATATTAGTGGATTATATTCATATAATAATTAATATTTAATTCAATCATGGTAATAATTTTGTATTATTAAAACTTAATTTATTAAAATTTTGGGAAAATATGAACTCGTTAAAATTCTTAAACAATAATCGAAGTTAAAAATATAATCCATTGGAAGAAGGATTTTCGATTTTTAGGAAAGGAAGGACTATAGTGAAAATTAAAATTTTCCTCATCTATATCCTATATTTGTAATATTGGTAAGGTACATCTTTATCTTATTATTTATTTTAATTTATCTATTAATAAAAAATTTAATAAAATCTCTTAGTTTTGAAGCATTAGTGGCCAACTGATACTGGCCCTTCTCTTGAGTGGTCAGGTATATTTTTATAAAAAGAAATTCTACAATGTATTGTACCATTTTGAACAAAGAGATATAAGAAAACGAAAAAGAGAACTGTGGAACAAGATGATATAACAGAGATAGAGAAAAAAAATATATATTACAGTTTTGTTACACTTACTATTATGTGTGTAATTTTGATTTTTATACTTCTAAGAATGTACAAATCTTTGAATTTTATCATATGTTAATATCGAATATTTTCGTCATGTTGACATCTACACTTCAACAAAAATCTAATATTATATACCATTGGAAACATTTCACAAATCAAATTACAATATTATGTAATCGGGTTTTGTAGTTTTATTTGTCAACTCTTGTCAGCCGGCCGAGGAGGATATTCTTACCATTGGCAACGTCCTTGAGAAATTGATTTAAGCCAGATGCTGTCTTATGTATGGCTGAATGTAACACGACAAACACGCACAAATAAACTATGTATGCAAACCATGTTACGTTAGTTTTGTTTAAATAGACTCGTTTTTTAAATTCAATGATGTTGGGGTAGATGATTTCATGAATGAGGGTTAGTTGTATATATACGATAAAGAAAGAAAACTCCTCAGAGATACTTATCAGAATTACGTACATATAAAAAAAAAAACACGTCCTTCCCAAACAATTAGATCTGTTTTTCACACCATGGAAGTCCAATCTTCCTTGGCAGTCATCATCTTCTTCTCACTGTCATTGCTTTTGCTTGCAAAGAAATACAAGCAAAAGAGTCTCCATAGACTGCCACCAGGGCCATGGAAGCTACCTATCATAGGGAACCTGCATCAACTAGCAGTAGCAAGTTCACATCCTCATCGTGCTCTCAGAGAGATAGCCCAAAAATATGGACCCTTGATGCACCTACAACTAGGTGAGATTTCTGCAGTGATTGTATCATCCCCCAACATAGCCAAGGAAATAATGAAAACAAATGATCTTGCTTTTGCACAGAGGCCGAAATTTCTTGCTTCTGATATTATGGCCTATGGATCAGTGGACATTGCTTTTGCTCCATATGGTGATTACTGGAGACAAATGAGGAAAATATGTACATTGGAGCTTCTAAGTGCAAAGAAGGTTCAGTCATTCTCCCATATTAGGGAAGAAGACGTAGCCAAACTCATAGAAACAATTCAGTCATCTGCTGGTGCACCAGTCAATCTTTCTAGAAGAATTGACTATTTCGTATGTACCTTTGTTTCTAGAGCAACATTTGGTAAAATAACTGAAGATCAAGAAGAATTTTTATTGGCTGTAAAGGAATCGATAGAAGTGGCAGACGGCTTTGATCTTGCGGATATGTTTCCTTCTTCTAAACCTATACAGCTCATTACAGGGTTGAAAACCAAATTGGATAAGATTCATAAGAAGCGTGACAATATGTTAGAGAAGATCATAAAGGACAATAAAGCAAACGAAGGCATGGGTGAAGAAAAAAATGAAACTCTTGTTGACGTTCTTTTAAGAGTCCAAGACAGAGGCAACCTTGACCCCCCGATTACGAACAACAATATCAAAGCTGTGATTTGGGTTAGTATCTCTAACATAATATTCATCAGGTTGTAAATTGGGTTTAGCTTCATCCACATATAATTCAAACAAGTATGTTAAAAAATCAAGTCATCTTTTTGTCCTTGTTATGAATTGAAATATATGTTAAACTAAATTCAACATTATGCAGGACATATTTGCTGCCGGAACAGATACTTCAGCAAAAGTACTAGAGTGGGCAATGTCAGAAATGATGAAAAACCCGAGAGTTAGGGAGAAGGCACAAGCTGAGATTAGACAAATATTGAGAGGAGAGAAGACGATACATGAGAACAACCTAGGCGAACTTACCTACTTAAAGGCAGTCATAAGAGAAACCTTGAGGTTACATCCACCTCTTCCATTGTTGCTTCCCAGAGAATGCATAGAATTATGCAGGATCGATGGATATGATATACCCATCAAGACTAAAGTCATAGTGAACGGATGGGCAATTGGAAGAGATCCTGAGCACTGGCATGATGCTGAGAGCTTCATACCAGAAAGGTTCCATGCTACATCTATCGATTTCAAAGGAACAGACTTTGAGTACATCCCGTTTGGGGCAGGAAGGAGAATGTGTCCGGGCCTCTCATTCGGTATAGCCAATGTTGAGTTTGCTCTAGCCAAATTACTGTATCACTTCGACTGGGAACTCCCAGAAGGAATGAAACCAGAGGATTTTGACATGGATGAAGCAATTGGAGCCGTGGTTGGAAGGAAGAACAACCTTCACTTGATTCCCATTCCGTATAATGCTTCAATTCATGATAATGGCAAATGAAGCACCTTCATTTAAATCGGTATAAAATAAAATATAAAGCAATTGTAACTTGTACTTGCATAGTCAATGCTTTATACTTCATGTGACCTTTTTTTTTAACAATAATAATAATAATAATTAGCGGTAGTATTTGTACTAGTATTTGGACAAGAAAATTGAAGGATCCGTTACATCAGGTGCGTAAAAGAAAAATATAAGCAATTACCATAAAACAGGAAATCCTAAAAAACAGTTTTTGCTTCATTCGAATTTAAGGCGTACAATTTGTGCTCCAACAGGCACTGTCACTCGTGCTCTCATCTAATTAATCACACACACTGACACGTGTAATGAAGGAATAATTTATTGAAAACCTAGTAGACCCTAAAAACAATAGAGGACCTGCCAGAACAACAAAGCTGCCGAGGTCCATATAGTAAATTACAAAATGTGTACTTTTTTCTATCTAAATGGGTGCATATCAAGGGTCTATATACAATGAAAAAATTTGTTCACTACCAAAATTGGACGACTCCAGTATGCAAAAATATTCACAAGGAGCCAGAGCACAGGGATTAAAGTACTCTTCCGCCTAATAATATCACAAAATGACTTCGAGAAGAAGCAATACGAAGAAGTTCAATTTCAACGCCTCACCAATTATGCAACTGAGAAGTAATACTTTTTTCAATAGGATGATATTGGGTGTGCATGTATCTCCTAGCTTTCACAGAACCTGGCTGCTCAAGCCACTTCTCATATAAGCTTTTAATAATGGGATTGTCAAATGGCGATGCTGCCAAAACCTAGCATATAGAGAAACATTATCAATCCCCAATTAAAATTCTGATTGCAGAAAAGTGAAAAGAGAAGAACAAACTCAACTAAGACTACTCAGAAATAGTTAGTTAATTACTTATACAGTTAACAAAAAAGAAGTTTTCAATATCCAAATATTATACCAAAAGGGGGTAAAAAAACTAATGACAAGGTGCCAAGGAGCAGGAATCAAGTATGGTAGAGCAGAGAGCACCCATATGGATACAGAAACAATTGTTTTGTATTTTTGTAATATATGCTATGTTCACACTTTTGATGTTCCCACTAATGCAGATGCAGACTAAAACCGAAGTGGCAGTCAATTTTTTAATGAAAAAGAATGCAACTTACAATACTAGCTTATCTGAGATAATAGTACTTACATTTTCCATGTAAACTGATTCTAACAACTGACTCAGTTCTTTGGGCGATTGTCCCAAATTTGGTTTTATTTGACCACCCCCATTTAAGCAACCTGATCCATGAACATTCCTTTAAGTTCAATACCTACCAATTATATGGGCCTCAAAATAAAAGTATTGATAGAAAAAGCTAACAAATAATAAAATTTCCAATAAAATATGGTACCTGAAGGGCATGCCATGATTTCTAAAAAATGATAATCACATTTCCCAGTTCTAAGTTTTCGTACAATGTTCTGTAGATTCCGGAAACCGTAACAGAGGGCAAATTTCAGCACTGTTTTCCCCTCCACCTGCACAGACATTATGATTTAGAACAGTAAGCAAGAGTACTCCTCTAAGTCCTCTTGGCTTGGCAGCGTACTCTAAATAGGATACAGAAACTCTCTAAAGGAAACAAGATATCAGGATCTAATGATCTATTACCATTACAAAAAGTGACTAACTGTTTATACCAATGGTTTATTAACATAGCGAATCATCATACCGAAACAATCCTATTTTGAGCCAGAAATGAGATAATTCAAAATATAAAAAAAACAATCCCAAATGAGAAAGCCCAATTTTGAAATTAAATTCAAGGTGAAATAACAAAAACTAATAGCCCATTCTATCTACATCATATATATATATATATATATATATATATATATATATATATAATTGATTATATATACATATAACTGATTATGTTATATGTGGCCTAAAATACAATTGATTATGCATATATTATTAGAGGAGTTTTATTGTGAAATTAAAGGATAATTAATTATGTTAAAAACATGCTTGTTTATCTTTAGCTTTCTCATGTAATCACTGTTCACGTCTTTGAATTATGTGAAGAAAGAAAAAGGTGTGTGATCCACATTTTTCTATTTCGATTGTTTCAAACTATGAACAGTTTTCTGAATTGCTGCATGACTTTGCTCCCCTTCTCTTCTCTTTTGAGGTTGCAAAATGCTTTAGCAAGTATAGAGCCTCTTTGAGGAACAAAGTGACATAAGTTACTACTTCTAGGGAAAAAATTTATTATTTTATTATATATTTGCTATTTATAAAAAATAACGTAATTTTTTATTTAATTTTTTTTTCTTAATAATACTCTATTTATCTTCAACCAATCACCTATTTTCCTTCTTTTCTTTTCTCCCTTACCTACTTCCTCTCCCACTCTACCAAACAAAGTATAAAAGTCTAACTTACTAATTTCATCCCTAAGAACTGATTAGTGCAGATGAAAATTTTCTTTCAGGGGCCAAAGCAACATAAATTGCCACAGCATGATGAAAGAATGATGGCAGCAAGCAGAGACTGCTGCTGAAGGAATAATGATGGACCCTTGTTCACGAAAGAATGATGAATTTGAAGAAATAATGAAACAAATTAAATAGCACACATCACAACCAGAAACTGCGTTGGAAATTTGTGTCAACAAGAAATGGCTCTTAAAAACTACTATTAGTCCAATTGGTTATAATGCATAAATACTCAACATTTTATAGTTAGTATTCACATAAAATAGATACTGATAACAATATTCCTCACAAGCATAAAAATAATATCATAAACTTCACAAGAACTTGCCTCCAGAGTAACTTCTTGAAAATCTGAATTCCTGATGTTTCTAAAGGTCAAAGAATCATCAATTTGTCTTCCAAAAAGTGTTTTAGCAGCATATCGGAAAATTGTTTCTGCATAACCTCCAGAGCTTCCACGGACCCCATACAGGTATCCTTCTTCATTAATATTTGTTAGCCTGCAAGCACCACACTAAATATGAACACCATTGTTTGGAAAACACATGAAATTAAATAATGGAAGCAAAAATTAGTTTCATACATTTTGTCCAGAGGTGTCTCTTCTAGGCTTTTAAAATCAACTTCTTCTGACTATAAGATTGAACCCCATACAAGAATTAGTATACATATTATTATTCAAGTTAAAAGTGAAAAAATGACAAGAGTGAACTCGTCAAACTTATAACCTGAATCAACTCCAAAACTTCTCCAGTAGTTAATACTGAATCTACCTCTGAAATCATATTAATTTCATCCTTATGCCCTTCAACATGGGACTCAGGTTGGAAAACAAAGTCATCCCTTGCAGCCTCAAGCTTTTTATCATAACAAGGCATCACGGTGACATGATAAACTTCTTCTGGCCTGTTAAAACACTATTATTTAGTTTTTTTACTATACATATAACTCTCATAAAATTGCATTGCCTCATGCCAAAATATATCATCACTAAAGATTGAGACATCAAAAGATTAAGTGGCCTCCTTCAATTTCAAGGTAATCCCAAATTATAGTTTAGAGTTAATACACAACCTGAGTCCTAATTCTTGGCAAACACAGTTCTTTATGATAACTCCAATAGTTTGCTGTGGACTCTTTACTGATGAAATATAAGGAAGAACAAAGGATCCAAGTTGCTTTTCTGCATAGCATATCCAACCTGCACATAGATGTTCACATCAATAACTACAACTTATTTTTCACATTGAAAAGTAATTCTGGTCCCCAGCCCTATATTACTAATTGATACAGAACTGAATCCAACAGTAGTAATTATGCAGAGAAATAACAAGGAGGGAATAAAAGGAAAACTGATGAGTATTATTAAGATATTGAAAAGTAGGATACAATCACTTCTGTCCAGAGCACAGCTCCTGTAGAGAGTTATTATTCTCCACTCATAACAACCCAAAAGATCCCCAGTACCCCTCCCCTCCTCTTCTTGCTATACAAATAGTTTGTATCTAACTCTCCTTTTCTGCCTCTCTATCTCTCTCTCTCTGCCAGATCGTCATATATTTCTACCTTCTTTTTATTCCTCTTAGCATAAACTTTCCAAATTGTGGACCTAAGGGGGAATTGTTGAGCCCGTACTGTTTTCTCATCCTGTGATTTGTCTTGGGCTCTAACACTAGCCCAATATGAAATGGTATGTGAAGCAATCACAATACAAACAAGAAGCCATGTTAGTGAGAAACACAAACCATAGTCAACAGAACATCCTGAAATTACAGCATATTTTCCTACTTCAAAAGTATGAACATAAAAAAATTTATCTAACATTTATACTATGATATTGCTAAGTTTAACAATCTATACCTGGGCATGCTGATGTAATCATAGGTAGGCATGATTTACTCCTCTCATCATCAACCAATTGATTCTGTCTATACCTTGTGATGAACTCCACACAAGATTCGACAAGGGTCAAATCTCTACTGCAACTTGTATCAAAAATTGCCTTCACTCCCAAGGATTTAAAAAACCTTGTCAGCTTTTTGAAAGCCTGTAATACCATGAGTTTGATTGTCAGCCAGGGGGAAAAGACGTTGGAGTTTTTCCCCCCAAGTTTATTTCAAATGAGAACCTTATAAAATAATATAAGCATGGGGTTAAAGTATATTTTAAGGTTTTTATCACTCTTAAAATTGAAATCACCAAATTTAATTATCAGCAGTCCCTACTGACTAATAGAAATCCATGTAGTCATTCCAGTAGGAAACTTGGAACATAGCAACCCAGAATTGACTTTCCAAAATTTTCCTCAAATCATGAAAACAAATGTGTGAATTAGTTCACTGTACATATTTCATTGTTTGCTTTCACCCTAGCGACACCATTAATCATTTTCCCTCCATTTTGATGTAACCAAGAGTCCCACGTCATCACACAAACATGGAGCCATTGCACGCATGATATTGAGCCCGAGAAAGTTGTAAGGTCCCTTGACTAAATGTGATAACTCTAGATTTTGGAAGGACAAAAACCATAAAAAATAATTACAACGACCAAAACAATATTCTTTTTTTCATTTTAGACAGACCCAAAACATATTTAATCCAAAAAATATTATGGATAAAGCAATATCTAAAGCATCACCTGAATTGGAGAAATGCCAAAATGAGCAGCAATAGAAGCCCTTGACTGGGGAGAAAGAGACACAATCACAGCCTTTCCTGAATTAATATTGTAAAGAAACTGATCCAAACTTTGTTTCTCCAGCATAACTGTCTCTGCTGACGTGACGCATCCACTGCATCACCAGATAAATAAATTATGATTCCAAATAGACTTCAGAAACACGAAAAATGTAGAATTTTTTAATGAATCATTTCTTGTCACTTAGACATTAAAAGCTTTAAGCAACAGTTTTCAAATACGGAAGAAAATTGAGCACTTCATATTCCTAATCTAACACCTAGAAATGCTTACAAGTCATAAATAACAGACCACAGAATCAGAAACTTGTAAATTTGACTTCATTCATCAAATAAAGTGCTTTTCATTTGTAAGCTGTTAAGGTTACAACATAAGGTCACTATTGTTTTCAGTAGATTACAGATATAAGGCTGTGCAGGTGTGTATCATGTAACATTACACATTGCTAAGGGCTCCTCATTTTAATGTTTTTTATTTCTAGTAAATTGGTTACTCCCTATTTACAGTAATGTTATTTCTGACTTTCTATGTTTACCATCATTTATGACTATCTATTTACTACTCTAACTTTGCTTTAGGTCACCAGAAGTATATTCCTCTCCAATGTTTCCCTGAATCAATGATTTATAGGCACTCAAGGTCTATTCTCTTTTCTCCAAGTCCCTATAACATTGACCCATAGAGTACCTTTCTAACTATGCAACAGTATCGTTGCACATTTGCTAACCGCATAAACAAGTAAAACAGCCAAATATATCCGCTGAGGTCTAAAGTCGCCCCCAAAAACTACCTGTACAAAGCATACAAATATATAGAAAGAGCGCGCGCGCGAGAGAGAGAGAGAGACTAACCTACATGCCAAACAATCCTTGAGCGAAATTTTGACAGGGTCAGACTTGTCCTGCTTCTTAGCAATTGATACCTACAGTGAATTTACATGTCATCAAGGGTTTGAGAATAGCATAGTACAATATTGCGAAACCAATGAAGAGGACGAAACGAAAATACCTGCGGTTTATCGTTCTGTTTTAGTCCCTTGAGAGAGACAATACATGCCTGAGATGGAGCGATGAAATCGTTGAGATCTCCAATCCGAAGCCCTGCCGAGAATTTCTCCGACATTCTCTGAGAATTTAATAGCTACCAGCAGTAGTAGTACCCCGTAAGTTGATGAACAGAGAATGAATCAATCGAAGGATTAGGTTAGGGTTTTTATTGGAAGGTAAGAAAATTAAGTCACAACCACAAATAAAAGTAGCGTTCGGTCCCCCCGTTGAGTCAAAGGAACACAGAGGAGGGAAAGGAGAGAGATGCAGCAACAAACAACAGAAGGTGCGACTCTGTGAACAGTGATGAAGGCCCGCGATGGAAAGCTGAATATATATATTCCACTGTTTTTTCTATTTTCTTTTTCTCTCTCCTCCACAGATTTATCCCTTTATCCAAGGTTAACTCTCATCAGAGGCGCTAAGAGGTTGTTGGAGTTTTCGTATTCTTGTCTCGAAGGATATTTCATCTTTTTATTTAAAAATAAATAAGTAATTTAGTACTTTTATTTATTAAAATATTTTAATATAATTCAAAATTTTTAAAATTTTTAATTTATACATTAATATTAAAATTGATATTTGTTTTGCCTTCATTATATTAGATGTCTAGTTAGAATATCAATTCTGATGTATTTAGGTGATTGATTATAGTTATATCATAGATTTGTCACGTCTCATCAAAATTGTAAGAAGAAATAAATAGAGTCGCATATATGTTTAGAGTTTTAATAATTAAAAGTTTGTGCAAATGAATAAGGAGAAGTGAGAGAATTTGCAACAACAGGGGAGGTGAGAGTTCCATTTGTGATGACAGTGAGAGTTTAGGTTTTCAATCGTCGTCGTGTGTGAGATTGTGACAAAAGAGGAGGAGGTTGACTCCATTTAAGATTTGCGACGACGACATCTAAAGAGCGAGTTGTTTTTGACGACGATGGAAGGGGACCTGCAACAACGGCGAAGTCAAGCATGTAGGAGGGATTACCTGCAACCTATTGCGACGACGAAGGATCTTCTCATTTTCCTTCACTCATTTGCACAATCTCGTACCTCCACGATAATATTAGAGATCCTTTTACTTTTCCTCACCCATATGAAGATCCTCTTACTTTTCCTCACCCATATGCACAAATTCTCAATTTTTCAAATCTTGAACACATCTGCGGCTCTATTCCTTTCTTCCTGCAATTTTAATATGACGTGACACTGTCACGTAACTATAACCCATCACCTGACCACATCGAACGAATACTCCAACTAGACATATAATATAACAAAGTCAAAACATATATAACGATAGATTCAAAATTGACATCAATTTCAATATTTATATCTAAATTGAAAACTTTAAAAATTTTGGGACCACATTAAACATTTTAAAAAATAATGGGACTAAATTACCTATTTAACCTTTATTTAAGTTAATTATAAGAAGATTTTTATTATATTTTAGTTTTTTAAAATATGATTTAGAATAAGAAAAAATATTATATTTAGATTATCTAGATTAAAATATTATTAATATTTTATATTTTATTATATAAACACTAAAGTTAAAATATTTTTTAATTCAATTCATTTTATATATTATTATTTTTATATTTATCTTAAATATTAATTTTTTATAATATTTTTTATCTCTTGTAAATATATTTTACGTATTTCTTAACTTATTATATATCTTTTCTCCTTTCTTTTATTTTTAAATATATAATATCATATTAATTATTTTTTGCATATTATTTTTGTCCTTTTTTTTATAAATTATGAGAAGAAAAAGATTAAAAAAATAAAATATTCTTTATATATAATATTGATATAAAATATATTTTTATTTTATATATAATACATAAATAAAATATTAAATGAAGAAAGAGTGTAAATATTAGGTTGGGTAATTTATTTTTTTTATTCTATTTAGTATAATTCAACTTATTTTATTATTTTATTATTGTATTAGATTGAGTTAATTGGATCATAATTAAAAAATATTAAATCTTTATTTTTAAATATGTTAAATTTTAAAAAACAAACTATATAATTTTATTATTTAAATAATTTTATACTTTAAAATAGAAATTAATAATATAATAATTATACTATATATTATTATTTAATATATATCACATTAGACTAACTTGAACATGACAATTCATGTGATAAATGGCGTTGTCATCTAACGACAAGAACAAAATAGTATTCACGGAAAAAAAAACAGTTAATTTCTTTGGAAATTAAGTGAAATTAAAAAAAAAAAAAAAGTAGAAACTATCAATGTAATAAACCTAAAAAAAAAACGGGAGCATTTCTCCAACTCAACTTATCGTTGAGAGTTCAATTTCACATTCCAAATCGTAATTTTTCATATTTAGAATGTAATATTTAAAAATTAATAATTATAACTTTAACATCTTAAATATTTTCATAGAGAGGAAATCGAAGTTATAAAAACTGTTACTATGATTATAAATATTTTATATTTAGCTTTAACGTCAGAATTTTTTTTATTTTTATTTTTACTTTGGATCATTTTCTACGTTTTCCATCTAATACTTCTCAAATTTTGCGATAAAAATATTCTTAAACATTTGTTAGTTGGCACTTAATAATTTTTAAAGTATTAAAGAGTATAATATTTAATATATTAAAAGGTTAAACATATATTTCATAAATAAACAAGAATCATAATAATCATACAAAGAATATTCATAAACAAAAACTAATTATAATTTATTTATAATATTCAATATTAAAATCTTTCATAAAGTTTGCATAAGGTAGTAAAAGTATTGTGGGTTTTTTGCATTTTTTTCAAGTTTAGTGCTAAATACATTCTCACCTTCAAAAAGTTTCTATGGGAATAATTTTGTGAAAAACTAGCGTAAAAAAATCCCAAGAAATAATATTTTTCAGATTTTTTTCATAAATATCTATAAAATACTAATTTTTTCAATTTTAAATTTACAAGAAACTATAATCTGTCCAAATAAAATATGTTTTGTAAGTGTATTTGTTTCATGCAATAAAAATGAGAAAATGGAATAGGAATAATCTTTCCAAATAAAAGCAAACAACTGTGAAGAAAGAAGTCCCACATCGGTGGGAACTTCAATTGGGGGGCTCTCCTCCTTCTTATAAAAGGAGCTCCTCCCTCCTTATTTCTATATCCCAAAAATTTCTCCTTTTTCTCTTTTACTTTCCGAGTATTGGTAATTTCCAATTGTAAAGGAAAGGGTAGTCATTATAAAATTTTAATTTTTGCCTATTGTCAGTGTTATTTTTCTAGTCTCTATTTTAGTTGTGTGTATTTGTGCTGGTACTCTGATCCTAACAGTGGTATCAGAGCTGCGTTCGAGTCCCGTTGCGCTAGTCACTAGAATAGTGTTGGTTGCGTTCGAGTCCCGTTGCGCTAGTCACTAGAATAGTGTTGGTAAAATTCTGAGTATGCTCTGTGGTTGCAGTTTAATCTGATCTTCCACATCAGAAAGGAGTTGTTACTAGAAAAGATGTGGTAGTGTGAAAGTACTATTGAGGAAAGTTCTGGCTAGAAAAGACTTGTACTTAAGTGTGTCCATTAGTGACCCACCTCTCTTTCTTGGGAACCTACTTGGTGTACTGGTTCACGGTCTACTACTATTGTTCCGGTAGACAATACTATTTATAAGTGATAGTTGCATAAGTCTGTATACAACCATGGCAGCAAAGTACGAGATAGAGAAGTTTAACGGGAACAATTTCTCGTTGTGGAAATTGAAGATGAAGGCAATCTTGAGAAAGGACAATTGCGCGAAGCAATCGAGGGAAAACCTGCAGAAATGGCGGATAAAGATTGGAAGAAAATTGACAAGCAACGCTATTGTAAATTTACACTTGGCAATGACAGACTCAGCTCTATCCAAGTGTTGCGGAGAAAGATTCTCGCAAAGGAGATTTGGGATGCCCTCATTAAATTATATGAGGTGAAGTCACTTCACACAAGGATATTCCCGAAGAGGAAACTCTATACTCTTCGGATGAGTGAGTCCACATCGGTGACTGGACCACATCAACCAACCGAACACCTTGTTTGCCCAATTAGCAGCAGCAAATTTCAACATAATTGAGAATGAGCGTGCGGAGCTTTTACTTCGAGCTTGTCGACTCGTATGATCAACTCATCATCAACATTACAAATAATAATATTGAAGGACAACTACACTTTGACGATGTTGTCGGAGCTATTCTAGAAGAAGAATTCGAGGCGAATGAATAAGGTAGAAAGTTCTAAACAAGCAGAAGTTTTGACGATGATGAGAGGAAGATCAACGGAACATGGCTCAAGTGGGAGTCAAGATCATGGCAGATCGAGCTCTCGAAACAAGAAGACTTTCAAATTTAAATGCTACTACTGTGGCAAGAAAGGGCACACGAAGAAAGAGTGTTGGAAGAGGAAGAATGAAGAATCAACCTCACGAGGTTGCGTTGCGAGTACTTCGGAGGAAGGAGTAATTCGGTAAGCGAAGCGACGAATCGCCTCTAATGGCGGAAACGAATTTCATGACAAGTGGATAATGGATTCAGGTGCAACTTGGCACATGACCCCACACCGAGATTGGTTTCAAACCTACGAGCCTATCTCAGGTGGATCCGTGTTCATGGGAAATGACCATGCATTAGAGATTGCTGGAGTTGGTACTGTCAAATTAAAAATGTATGACGGTACTATTCGTACAATCCAAGAAGTACGACATGTAAAGGACTTGAAGAAAAATATATTGTCTATAGGGCAATTGGATGACCTTGGCTGCAAGATCCATGTTGAAGGAGGAATCTTAAAGGCAGTGAGGGGAAACATAGTTGTCATGAAAGCAGAGAAAATCATGGCAAACTTGTATGTGCTTATGGGAGACACCTTGCAAGAAAATCATGCAACAACTGCGTCAACAAGCCAAGAAGAAGCGGCGGTAACGTGACACCGTAGACTTGGACATATGTCAGAGCGAGGTCTGCAGATTCTTGCGGAACGTGATCTCATACCTGGGCTCAAGAAGGTCGATTTACCCTTCTGTGAGCATTGTGTGACAAGCAAACAACACAGGTTGAAGTTTTCAAGAACCACCACAAGGAGTAAGCAAACTTTGGACTTGATCCATTCTGATGTCTGGGAATCGCCGGAATTATCTCTCGGAGGAGCAAAATATTTTGTGTCGTTCATCGATGACTACTCGAGGAGATTATGGGTATACCCCATCAAGAAGAAGTCTGAAGTATTTGCGCGGTTCAAAGACTTCAAAGCACAAGTAGAACTTGAGACCGAAAGGAGAATCAAGTGTTTGAGGACAGACAATGGAGGAAAATATGTAGATGGAGATTTTCTAGCATTCTGCAAGCAAGAAGGAATTGTGAGACAATTTTCCGTTCCACACACGCCTCGCAGAATGGTGTAGCAGAGCGGATGAATAGAACTCTTCTAGAGAGAACCGGAGCTATGCCTGCAAACTGCAGGCATAACAAAGTCTTTTTGGGCGGAAGCCGTGAATACTGCTCTGTTATTTGATAAATCGGTCTCCATCAACAAGCAATTGGGTTGAAAACTCCTATGGAAATGTGGAGTGGAAAATCAACCGATTATTCTTCCTTACATGTGTTCGGTTGTCCCGCGTACGTGATGTACAACACCCAAGAAAGGACGAAGTTGGATCCAAAATCCAGGAAATGCATCTTCTTGGGATATGCTGACAATGTGAAGGGGTATCGCTTGTGAGATCCCACTGCCCACAAAGTTATTGTTAGCAGAGATGTCGTCTTTGCAGAAAATGAATTGCAAAGCAAGCAGATAAATGACAGCTCGGAAAAGGACAAGACTATAGTACAGATAGAGAAGAAGACTTCGAAACATTCCTCTGAGTCAGAGGAGGAGCATGAAGAACATGAGCCAAATGAGGTGGAAGAAAGAGAACTCCGACGATCAACAAGAGAAAGAGTCGGACCATCTTGGCATTCACAATATGTGATGGCAAGTCATGATGCGTATTGTCTCCTAAGTGAAGAAGGAGAACCTTCAACTTTTCAAGAGGCCGTGAGTGGTTCGAAGCTCCTCTATGGATGGTCGCTATGGAAGAAGAAATTGAAGCTCTTTATAAAAACAAGACATGGCATCTTGTGGAACTTCCAAAAGGTCGCAGAGCCATTGGTTGCAAATGGGTCTATAAGATCAAGAGAGATGTCAATAATCAAGTGGAAAGATATCGTGCTAGACTGGTGGTAAAAGGATATGCTCGGAAAGAAGACATTGATTTCAACGAGATATTCTCACCAGTTGTTAGATTGACAACAATCGAAATTGTCCTGGCGATGTGTGCTCGCATTTGATTTACATCTTGAGCAATTAGATGTAAAAGCCGCTTTTCTTCATGGAGAACTTGAAGAGGAAATATATATGCTCCAACCGAAGGCTTCAAAGAGCAAGAAAACTTGGTTTGCAGGTTGAACAAATCTCTATACTGGCCTAAAGCAGGCGCCAAGGTGTTGGTATAAGAGATTTGATTCCTTCATTATTAGCCTCGGATACTACAGACTAAGTTCGGACCATTGTACTTACCACAATAGGTTTGAAGAAAATGATTTCATCATATTGTTGTTATATGTGGATGACATGTTGGTGGTAGGCCCTAACAAAGCTCAAATCCAAGAATTGAAGGCACAATTGGCTAGGGAGTTTGATATGAAGGACTTGGGACCAAGCAAACAAGATTTTAGGGATGCAAATTCACCGAGACGGAAAAGATAGGAAGATTTGGCTTTCTCAAAAGAATTATTTACTTAAGATCTTACTGCGCTTCAACATGCAAGATTGCAAGTCAATTTCTACCCCACTTCCCGTCAACCGTAAGTTATCCTCAAGTATGAGTCCTAGCGAGTGAAGCGGAGAGGATTGAAATGTCTCGAGTATCGTATGCATCAGCGAGTGGGAAGTCTTATGTATGCTATGATTTGTACAAGACCGGACATTGCACAAGCGAGTGGGAGTGGTTAGTAGATTCATGGGGAATCCTGGTGGAGAGCATTGGCAAAATGTGAAGAGGATCCTTAGGTATATAAAAGGAACCTCAAATGTTGCATTATGTTATGGAGGATCGAAGCAGTTGTTAGAGGCTATGTTGATTCGGATTTTGCAGGTGATCTGGATAAAAGGAAGTCTACTACCTGGTTATGTGTTTACCATCAATGGAGGGGCAGTAAGTTGGTTATCCAAGTTACAAGATGTGGTAGCTCTGTCTACTACGAAGCTGAATACATGGTTGTCACCCAAGCATGTAAAGAAGCTATCCGGATTAAAAGAATAATGGGGAACTTGGTCACAAGCAACAACAAATTGTTGTGTCTTGTGATAGTCAAAGTGCCTTACACATTGCAAGGAATCCAACCTTTCATTCGAGGACAAAACACATAGGAATAAGATATCATTTTGTTCGAGAAGTAATAGAAGAAGGAAGTGTAGATTTACAGAAGATCCACACTGAGAAGAACCTAGCAGATGTAATGACAAAACCGGTTAATGCTGACAAGTTTATACGGAGTCGATCCCTCTATGGCCTATCGAAAGCATAAGCAACATGGATGTGAGAGAAGAAGACATATTGTGAAGATTTGATTAATTTCATCAAAATCTTCAAGTGGGAGATTGTGAAGAAAGAAGTCTCACATCGGTGGGAACTTCAATTGGGGGGCTCTCCTCCTTCTTATAAAAGGAGCCCCTCCCTCCTTATTTCTACATCCCAAAAATTTCTCCTTCTTTCTCTTTTACTTTCCGAGTATTGGTAATTTCCAATTGTAAAGGAAAGGGTAGTCATTATAAAATTTTAATTTTTGCCTATTGTCAATGTTATTTTTCTAATCTCTATTTTAGTTGTGTGTATTTGTACTGGTACTCTGATCCTAACAACAACAACACTATTTGATCAAACTTCGCAATAAAAAATGGAATAGGAAAAAGAAAGTGAAAAGAATCAAAATTGTTAAAAGTAAATTTATTCATAAACTACAATAAAAAGGAAAACTACTATAAAAGTCGAAGACACAAGTTTATTAAATCAGTGACAGCTGAAATTCACATGTTGCCATCATTCATCATTCACTATCATATTGTTTCATTAGTAACAAAGAAGGTTCCAAATTAGAAAAAAACTAGTATATAATATAACACTGAGCAAGAGTGGTAAGTGGAGTAGGTAGTTAAGTTGCAGAAACCATGGTAGTTAGTTTCCAATAATCCTACCAACCAGCATGTTTGTTTTTGTTGGCACCATACAAACGGAAGAGACTAAATGCAGAAATACATGAGAGGGCCACCATACTAAGGCTAACCACAAAAGCACTTCCTATCCCTTCTCCCATTTGGTTGCAGAATTTGCCATACATGTTGCACACCTTCATCCACTGAAGTTCTGCTTGCCCTGCCTTTCCAATCATGCCAGATTGCAATGCAGCAGCCACTGCAGCCACTGTCAGATATGCCATCACCTGTATAAACATAAATAATAGCAACCTTCAATTAGACTTTTAGTGTGTTTGGAATATGCTGAAAATTCTAAAATCACAGTGACATCAGAAAATACTTGAAGCAATTATTCTGTATTGGTTTTCCTTCAATGTTGAAAATTTTGATTTGGATGATGAAAGTGACCTAAACCAAACATTTTGTTGGTGAAATATGTTTCTATAGAATCCAGATTTGATTTCTTTGACTGTCCTCAAGAAAGATCTATTTGTGTCTGTCCCTCCAAAAAATATAGAAGAAAGGTCAATTGTAATGATAATGATAACGCGTGGGAGATTTCAGACAATTTTAATTCTCAACAACTGCATATGTGATCCCAAAGGAGATTAAATGTGAAAGCGTGATGTGTGGTGAGTGTATCTCCTCCACTTGCATCGATCATGTACTGTTTGTTTCCATGGGGTCCCGCAATAGCATTTTCTCATGCTTCACGGGGCAGAGCTGAGGTAACTATGAATTATGAATTGCTACACAAAACAAATTTGACTGTTTCAGCCACGATTTCAACGAAACAAAACCAACCCGACCCCACTCTCACATTCTGACACGGGTATGTAAGGAGTAAATACTTAAGACCGAATTAAATGTTTGGATAGAAAGTTGATCGGATGAATCAATCAATTCATTCAATTGTCACTGGTGGATTTTCCTAGTTAGTAATTCACATGGGTTCACCATTCATTTCATTCATCAATTTATTGCATTATGTGTACAACTAGTTCAAGAACTTCAGATCAACTCCTTGAAAACAAAATGTTAGTACTACAAGGGCTAAACTCAGCTTTGGGCAATTGCCACGGGCCCGTTTTGCCCGTCCTGCCTTTGGTCCATCAAAAGCGGGGTGGAGTGGGTGGGATAGACTAGCTCGATATAGTCATGATAGGTTGTAAATCTTGGTCCGCCCCGTCAAGGGCGGGTTGGCGGGTTGACCCGTCATAATTTAGAAAAAAATAATTTTTAAAAATTTTTTTTTTTTAATAAATTTAATAATAAAATTATTATTTATTTGTCAATAATTCAATATATATATATATATATATATATATATTATTTCAATTTCATAATATAAATTAATACATTATTTTAAAATATTATAATTTAGAACAATAATAAAATTTATATAATAATAAATAATAACAAATATATATATATATATATAAATAACGTTAAACTTATAAAATTTATATTTTTTATCAAATACTTAAATTTTTTTATTTGATAAAACTTTATATTATTCTTGATTGAGTAATTCTTATACCTTTAATTCAAGTAATAAGGATAAAAATAATCCGTGCTTAGGACAAATAAGGAAAATAGAAGAGAAGGTTATGTTTCTGAAAGAAGAATATTTTATGTGAGAATAAAATTTTTTTAATTTTTTTTTTAAATTTTTAACTTTATATATTATCTTTATAATTAATTTTATTATAATAAAAAATTATTTTTTTATTAATTAAGTACTAGTTTGGCTGGCGTGACGGGCCAAAACTGGCGGCCGGATTGAAATCATCAATCCGCCCCATATTATCGCGCGCGGACAGCCGCCTACCTAGCCAGTTTTGTAATCCTTTGCCACGTTAAGATACCAAGAAAGGTAACCCAAAAAGTTTTGATACTTGCCTTTTAGCCTGTGTTTGAAGGAACATTTATGGATATGTTAGTTTTCTCGCTGAAACTGCCTAAACACGGAAAAAACATGAGAAAGTTAAAGCTATCCAGAGTTGTTTCGTTTTTAACATGGAAAAGTGAATCGATTTTCCTTATACCACTCTAAAATCAAACATACTGTATAAAATTGATTTTGAGTGAACGAATTTTTTAAAACCGATGTCGAACTGAAATGACTTACGTTTCCATGTTTTTACGAGTTTTTATCTTGAAAGTAACTTTGATGTGAAATTAGATTAATTTCTCCAGCCTGATGCAAAATCAATTTTACTTCCAACAACGAAACATTTGTGTCTTTATAAAGATCACTCACAATTGACCTAAGAGAAAATCGATGCTCATGCTTTCCGAAACCAACAAACTTTATGTCAGTGAGAAGAGTGAAAAATACAGGTACCTGATCACCAGAGAAAATGAGCCAAGCTAAGGGTTTGCTGAAGAGTACATTTCCTCTAACCATACTCACAACACAGCGCAATCCTTGGATTAAGGAGTACCCAACAGTTAGTCCATTGGCAACTACCAAGAACCTGCAAAGTTTTGGCAATCAATATTGGGATGTGGAGATTAGAAGATTTCAGGACATAAATGCCATAGAGAAGAAGAAGAAGAAGAAGAATGAAAGAGCTTACACTAAAGCCTTCATGTCTGTAAACTTAGCTTTCTTCTGAAAGGAGAAAAACTCTTTGACTTGGGAATCAGTCACCACAAGAGCAATTGCAAGAACTCCTAAACCAAGGCTCACACCCCTTAGCACCAGCTCTGCTATCCTCACCCTCCTATCCAACACTTTGAGTTTTGTTCCATGGTACACTGGGACAGTACCAGGACTAACACCCAAACCCAAATAACTCATTTTCCACTTTCAGATCAACACTTGAGAACAAGAAGAGAGATATTAAGATCGAAGAAAATAGAAGAAATGAGAAAACAAACAAGTGAGCAACCAAGGGGTCTCCACTATTATTTATAACACAAAAATTGTTCTAATGAGTTATGATGAAACCTAGCGGAAAAGGCAAATGGAAGCGTGCGTGCCAAGTGGTCAAAGCCTAAGCTGAGAATACAGAGAAGAGAACACGTATTGACAAAGGAAACTGAACTCAACCATTATACTAAAACGGGGTTATTTATTTAGGAGACTGCTGTGATTTCTGGTTCCGCATTAAGGACTACTAAATGGCAAGAAAAATGCGGTTTTTAGAGCTCCTTCATCGTTTCTAGAAATTACTACTGACAGTTTATCGTCCCTATAATGTGCCTGACAAGGTAAGGAGTGCCTTAATTCTTGTGATTGAAGGACCTTTTTTTATTTTTTTTGTCAGCAGATATTTAAGGACCGTATGGTTCAGTTTTATGATGTCCATTTCTTTGTCTGCCTTAAACATACGTGGGTGAATACCGAATCAAGAATGATTTGTAAACACCACAGATCTATTTAATACTCAGTAACAGTAAGAGATAGACTCGAAAATTGAAAAATTTTGTACGGGACGAATGTGAATGTTTCATTACTACTTTATTTTGTAATTTTTTTTCCCTTTATCAACTAGAGCATTAGTGAAAATGGCAGGAATAACACTGAGTGCTAAAAAAAGTTGGATTAACGATATGTATATTATTGATGTATGGTATGGTGGGCCATGTACCAGCAGGGTAGTGTTTGTGGCATTTTTGAGTTCACAAGTTCAGCTCTCACCAAAATTCTTGTGCTGTTATTAGCCTCTTAAAATGGAACTTCACCAGGTATTGGCAAATGTATTAAAGGTGATAAAGGGTGTGTGCAGGATGACCCACTGCAGAGAGGAGCAAAGCAACCACTTCATTCCACTAACTAAGCACCCCTACACTCACTCACTCTCTTAGACTATCTTCTCAAAAGTGGTTGGTGGATTAGGGTTTATGTGTGAAAGGGAGTTTCTTAAAGTCCTTTTCAATGCATAATGTGTTAGCTTTGCTCTTACCCTATATATATGCCTTTTGATGTCAGTCAGTGTATCAGCATGATATAATCAATAGTCTAAGAGATCAAACCATAATTCTTCACCATGATTTAATTATATTTTGAATTTAAAATCGAAAGAGATTAGTTTGTAATTGCACTGGCGCAAATTAGCGAAGGACCAAGGAATTTGACTACTCCTATTTGTTCATTTTTTGTCAAAGAAAAACTCCTCCCACCTCTCTTCCAGGCCCAACCCAAAAAGGGACCCAACTTGTAGTACAAGAGCTAACTCACTGTCGTACAGTAATACAAAAATTCCTAAATGTAAATAAAATATGCTTAACTATTATTGAGTAAGAACCTTTTTTTTTAATAGGAATGCTAATTTATTATGGCACGTAAAATTTTAATAATTTAATTTTATGTCAAAGATGAAAATGTAAAATTAAAAATATAATCATTAGGAAAAGCGACCTGACTTTAGGCTATAATTGCCCATAGTATACAGTTGTTTTTGGATAGTGTCTGCTTATAAAAAATATTTTCATTTGCATGGTTTGTATAATTTGAATTTTATTTTATTTTGTTTTGTTTGCATAAGTAATTACAGAAATGTCATATTAATATTTTAAATGTTTATACAAAATTAATTATCACCATTTGTTGTATAAAATTAAAAAGAAACATAAAGATAATAATTTTATAGTTATTTTAAGTTTAAAAATATTGTTTTGAATCCAATTGATCCTTATATTACACATAAAAAACATGGGATTTCCACTTTTGTGTTTATTGAGAAAGAATTGGGTAAGGCATATTTTAACACATACTTTAAAATAGCTAATGAAACTTTCAAAATTCGAGAATCTATCTAAAGAAAAAACAAATAAATCTAAAAGATTGTTTGTTTACTTTTTTAAAAATAATTTTTAAAATTTAAAAAAATGATAGTTATTTTACTAAAATTATTTTTAAAATTTGATAAAAGGTAGTTTTTATTTTAGTTTTGTAACTTTATTAATATGTATCAAATTTAATGCTTATCTTCATTATCATAAAATTATTATAATATTTTTTCAACTTATTTTTAAAAACAACTTTTTAAAACTATCTCTAAAAATGTTTTAAAAATTAAAAATAAAAATAAATCAACCAAACTCTGTATAATTTTTTTACTAATTTTATCTTCTTAAACTGATCCGTCAATTTTCTCAAATTAGTTTAACCTACTGAAACTTTCAAATTTTGAGAGTCTATTTAAAGAAGAAAAAAAGAAAGTAGAATCTAACTATTTAGACTATGTTTAGTTTAACGTTCAAAGAATATTTTTACTAATTCCAACGTATAAAATTTGAGTGTAGGAATTAAAATAAATAAATATTTTATTTAAAATCTTCAATTTAATCCAAACGTACATTTAAACTAAGAATAATATCTAAAATAAGACTAGTCTCTACCCGTTTGGGAAAATCCATAGGACAAAAACGAGACTGAGAATTCTACTTCACGTAGTGATGTTACTGTTTCACTTTCACATCAAGCAATGGAAAAATAAGAGTTTCAGAGAAGCGGCCAAAAAGCACCAACTCCATTACTCCCAGCAAAGTTCAACTACAAAATATGCTCTAACTGTCTTTGATGTAAGAAATAAATTACTTCAAACATTATTCAAGGAAGCAGCAATTCATACTTGCATGAGCCATGACCTGCCATTGGACAAATACCAGATATTACAAATGAGATTTTAGTAAAATCAGCTGATAAAAGTATTTGTGTATTTAATGTGTCTTACTAATTGTTAATGTGAATCAAAGGATAATTAAGAGATTATTTAGAGATCTTACTTGGGTCAACATCAGTGGTGATTGCAGCAGAATTGAAATAGCAAGAACCTCCTTTGTGCTTGAACCTCTGATAGTAATTGTTGAAGACATAGGAGGCGTGGTCCTTCAAGGTATTTGGAAGGTAACATGGTTGGTTCACTTCTATCTTGCTGCAATCTGCTCCACCCTTTCCACAAGCCCAATCCATGGCCCTCTGCAACTCCTCATCTGGGGTCTGCTCATCTGCTATGCACCATTCCTCAAATTGTCCTGACATTTTCCAACAACTCAGGATGTTATAAGATACTACACAACTCTTTGGCTCTCAACACATAAAAAACAAATTATTCGTTTTAGTTTTCACTCAATGACAGTGGCCAGATATCTGTGGCACAATGAACTGCTTCTTTTTAACAAAGCAAAATTCAATAAACTTAGTAGAGAGAGAGGTAATGCTGATTTTACCATATGCTTGAAAAGAGAGAGTCAAAAGGAGCAAAGCTATCAAAATTTTGAGCATTGGAGAATTCATTGCTCTTCAGGATCTTCTCTTATTTTGAGCAAAACTGTGATTCGTTTCAGGTAATGGCTGAAAAATATTCCTATATGCTATCCTGTTAATAAAGTTTCATTTTGCTGTGCTGGGGGAAAAGCTAAGAGCCATGACCGACACACCTTGGAATGGTCCTACTTCCATTCCTTGGTTGTCACGATAACTTGGAAACTTTTCTTTTTCTTTAGAATGTCTCTGTCACCATGATTTTGTTATACGGTTTTCCTCTGTTCTTATATCCAGGTCTTAAGACATGGACATTCCAAATATGGTATTTGGATCATTTTTATAACTTGCCTAATAAGAGTAGACAATTGTAGATACAACCGAAAGTAAATTAATTGAAAGAACAAACAAATTATCTTATGCAATTATAGTTTTGGTTAACATATCAAGAACAAACAGTTCAGTGGGTCTATTCCATGCATGAATTTTCTTTCTTTTTTTTCAATGACGAATCTAGATGACCAATTTTCCAAGCAAGCGATCAGAACATAAAGCAGAAGTCAGAATCCCTAAAGGGATTGCAAATAAAAGAAGTTATTTCTTTTCATTTGTTTATGCCTTCACAAATGACCAAATAGAGGAGTTATTACCAAGCCACTCCAGCAATAAAAGGATTAGGAATAAAGTTCTCGGGACTTCTTTTTTATAAGAATTTGCAGCAAATGTTTGCTCTAATTCTATGATCAATTGCCATGGAATCGATGCAATAATAAAAAATAATAGTATTAAAATGCCTTAGAAGAAAGAATACAACTCTATAGTATATCCCATAATTGCATTTACTCCTTCATGTTATATTAAATGAATTCACCCATCTAATTTAAAAACGAACATTTATTTTTTTATGTGTTAAACAAAATAATACTCACACTCGGTAATTTATATATACATATATCGTCTTCTTCTTGAATAAAATATGAAGTAGGAGTCTTTTTATTAAGAATATAAAAAAAATGTAAAATTCATTTTGTTAAAAATAGAAAGGATATCATGTCTATTTAAAACTAGAATTTGTGTGAATGTTATTATTTTATTGAAAAATGAATGTTTATTTTAAAACTAGATATTAAGAATATCATTAAGTACAACGTCGTAGGTATGATCATCCCTATTTAACATAGTTTATATTCTCATTTTCTATTTGCAACCCTCTTAACAAATATCTATCCCGTAGTGTTCCCATTATTCATCAACTTAATTGATAATTTTTTATCATTCTTAACGAGGTTTCATCTTAATCGTTTATTTTTTTCATCCCCAAGGATGGAGTCTGAGATATTGCATAGAGAGTGAGGTTATAACTATTATCTGCTTTTTGTTCATGACTATTTTTTAGGTGGTTTGACTTTCTTCCAGTTTTCTGGACCAGATTCGGCATCTTTTCAACAAATCCTGGCATAACCAAACCTCTCTAAAATGAACTTATACATGTTAATTGAAAAAAAAATAAAAAAAAATCTAGCTTGATACTTAGTGTGCGTATGATATTATTGTTATAAAGGGTATTCGGTACGACTCGGCGAGTTTGT